AATAGATTTAAACAACTTAAATGCTACAAAGAAGATAACATTGTTACATTCCATCATATTTCAGGTATCTCAAACTGCTCAGATTTTCTCACCAAGAAATACTCAGGTCCTGAAATTCAAAAGACATTAACCTCCACACCATTCAAGAATCATTTCTTTTTAAATCTATAGGTACTTCACTCATTCTTTCATATTCAATCACAACCAATTGAACACCGGTTAACAAAAGACAACACAATATAGTTCCAAATCAAGTTTCATCATATTTAATATTATTACATTCAATAAATACTCAGAAATGAGGGGGGGAATGTCAGGTATTACATAACCAGAATAACCAATTATGCACAATTCATCAATACTCAACATTTCACATCAACTATAAGAAGAATCAAGAATCCACTAATTGTAACATTATATGTATATTAATAGAACATCGGAATTACCTTATATACACACAGTAGAGGATATTCTGTCAGTTTCCAAAATATTTAGATCTTGAACGCGATGGGTTTAGTAACAACAACAGAGACAACCATGTCAGAGAAAGTAGATATAAATCAACTTCATGATGAATTTAATCAAGAATGTAAACATATTCAATCACTGATAGATACATCATCCACAGAAGGCCATACAGAATTAAAGAAAAAGATCATACAATTGCAGAACAAGATTGAAGAAGTCTCACACTTATTGCCCAGTTATCAACAACTATCATACACTGAAGTGAGTTCCACAACTTTCATATGGATTTTGGATCTAAACTGACACCTGATATAGCAAATACGATCTCTACTAGAGGCCGTTGAAAAGAAGAATGCACCACAAAAGAGATTCAAATTTTCAAGAAAACCTCAACCAAAGAAACCTCTACAAAAAGAACCAGTGAATCTTATACAGGAACAAGAAGAAATTCCAAATGTTGCGGGTGTGAACAGATCAAGTAGGGAAATCGCTGATGAAACAAAAATCTTCTGCAAAGATGTTGAATCTTCAATACTTATTTTCAAAAACCTTGAATCAATAACTTTGAAAAAAATTTCAAACTCAATAATATTAATCGAATCAAAAGGACCTTGCTTCATCTTTGGAATGCAAAATTGTAAAATATTTGTCAAATGTCATCAATTAAGAATCCATGATTCAAACAATAGTGAAATTTTCCCAACTATTGATTCCCAAAATGCTATAATTGAAGGTTGTTCAAACTTGATTTTCAAAAATGAAGATATTCAAGTTAATGATTTTGATTCACCAGGTTCTGTTAGTTCGAATTATACAAAATCTGGAATAGAACAAAAAGATCAAGATTTATATAAACAACTACAAAGTGCTGATAAGCTTCAAGATCTTTTAGCTAATATCACTGCATTTCTTCATTAAATAGCTAAATACACACATAAAAAAATACACTTTTTTCAGCAACTTTTTCCATCTTCATAATAATCATTAATATCTTGGTTAATAAAAAACTAATAACCTTCTCTATATCTAGATGGTCCTCCTCTATATCCTCCTTGGGGTGGATATCTTGGTGGAGGATTATTATTAGGAACGTAGTAACTTGTGCCATTAGCACCACCACCTCCACCGACACTTCTTCTGTCATCATACTGTGGTTGATATGATTGTCCATTTCTTGAATTATTGTATTCAGATCTCACTTCCTCAACCGATCCTCTCATTGGTGGTTCTTGATAATTCCAATGGGGTGATGCTGTTACAACTTCATCTGGTTGATGCTCTTGTTGCTCTTGTCGAAGCTGTTCAATCTGTTGTCTTAATTCTTGCTCTTTTTCTTTGAAATGTTTTTCTGCACTCTTAGCCCGGAGTAATTGATCCTCTAATTCGTTAATTTTACCATCACATTTTTGTGTTGCTAATTTGAAGCTTTGAAGACTAATGGTTTGATAAAGTTCAGGATATGATTTTTGAAACTGTTGTATTGAAGTGAATGGTCTCAAGTTCTTGGCTTCATTTTTGATAGTAGCATCAAGTTGTTGATTTAAATCCTCGATAACTTCGTCTTTTTCCTTCTTTTCTTGTTCTGAAATTTGAAATTCCCTATGTTTTTTCTCCAATTCATCTAGTAATGATTTTCTTAATTCACTTTTCTCTTCCTCAGCAACCTCTCTTGTTTTGCTTTCTATGTTTTTGATATCATCTTGAAGTGATCTGATTTCATCTTCATAACTAATTGATAAAAATGTTCTTTTCAAATCAATTGCAGGTATCTCTAATGCCTCAATTAAAATCTTGTTGGCCAGTGTTTTGGACAATTTGAATAGTGATTCTTTGAAATCACTCAGTTTGTATTGTTGACTCAATTTAGCTTTGAAGTCATTTGCATCTTCACTTGAGCTTAGTAGTGATTCTAATGTGAATTTATGGGCTTGTAATGCAGTATTATAATCTTCACATTCTGTGATTTGATCATAAGTTTGGAAAATGATGGATATGTGATCTTTGAATTCATCAAGTGTTCTTTCGTCATATAATAAGGAAAAAATGGTGTATACAGCAGCTTGATTAGGGTACTCTTGGAAAAAAATGTAATTGTTATAAGCTGAATCGTCATATGAAATTGAGAAAAGTTTTTCAAATCTGAAGAATAAACTTGATATCACAACCATGACATCCTTCAGTTGTTTTTCATCAAAAGAGCGAACAAATGATAATAATAAAACCAAGTTTGTCAAAACTCTTGTGACCCTTTCCCTTTTAGTTTCTGCTCTACCTTTTGGCACCACCTCATAATCATGAACAAAATAGTATGAGGGTTTCAAATAAGCTAAAAATGAATAGAATGCAAAATAGTTGAAATCGAATTCAGCTTCAATCTCAGCAGGTAAATCAGTCAAGGTGTATAGGGAAAAATTTTCATCATCATATTCAAGTGGAGCAGGTATATCAGGATCTTCTTCACCATATGGGGGTAGCGCTTCGCCTGCAATGTTCAACTTTTTTGATGGAGTATATTTTGGAGGAGTAGATATGAAGAATTTGACTAGGTAGTATGAAATCCGTAGTAAATCATCTAGTCTATTGCCTATTTTTGTATAGTATTCATCTGTTTTGAATTGTTCTAGGTACTTTTCAGAGTGATTGAACTCGAAGTTCACCCTTCTGGCTCTGTAGAGGAGACTATCTATATGTGTCTCCATTGTGATGTATTCTTCTTATTGGCTTCGAGTATGAAAATTTCCAGCCAATTATTTCAGAAACCAATTGAGACGGATAACGCCTAATACCAAGAGCCTATTAGCCACCAGCCTAGTCAGTGATCCACTCTTCTATGGAACTGGATGCGGATTCTTTGGCGTTGGATTCCTCTGAACAGGCAAAAGTTTGGTTGACAACGCTTTCCAAATCGAAATCAACAAATTCTCAATGATGACATAATATATTATGTAACATTTGTCAGTTGTTATGGCAACCCCAATAGATTTTTGTTTACTTTTCGATTTTCGTTTCATTTTCAAATTTGACAAACGTCAACAACGACAACAACCAGCTACAACGACAGGATCAAGGCCATAGACTAAGGGAAAGAACGCGTCTATACCATCAAGAGGAGAAGTTTTAGAGGGTGATGTCTACTAGCAATCCTCCATCTCCAAAGAAGCACGTCGCTTCGCGTTATCTGGAGACAATTGGAGGCCCGTTACAGCCTTCAGCAAAGCTCAATACACCATCTAGTCCAAGAACACCAACAAAAATAAGAACTAATAATCTGGAAACAACTCCAGCTGCTTCGGAAAGAGTCTCTCCAGTGAAAAGATTGGTATTTGAAAGGGAAAGTACTGCTAAACAGGATAATCTTCAGAAATCATTTGCTGAGTTAAAATTGGACAGTCCTTCTCCATTGAAAAGAACTACTTTCAAGCCAGTGGCTCCCACAACAACAGCCAATCCTACTTCATACCCTGGAAAGGACAAGAAAGGTTACGATTATTTATGCAGAATTGGGGAAGCTAAAGAATGGATTGAGAAATGTATTAATGAACCTATTCCATCACCAACAGAACTGGCCACTGATGCCCTAAGAGACGGTGTCATTCTTGCAAAACTGACACAAGCTTTTAATCCAGAGATTGTGAGAAGAATCATTCCATCGGGTGCTAAATTACAATTCAAACATACTGAGAACATCAACGTGTTTTTCCATTTCCTGGATTTTGTTAAGATGCCTGATCTATTTCGGTTTGAACTTACAGATCTATACGATAAGAAAAATATTCCAAGGGTGATATTCTGTATCCATGCTTTAAGTTTCATGTTATCTCATGACTCTCAAGCACCTTTGATTGAAAAATTGGATGGTAAATTGAACTTTTCAGATGATGAAATTAAAAAATCAGAACATAGTTTATCCGGGGTCAGTTTACCTAATTTTGATTCAATGAATAAACAATTTGGTCGTGAATTACCAAAGAGTCCATCAAAGCTAACCATCCCTTCTTTGAAAGAAAATATATCCACACCATTGAAATCACCAGCCAAAGTAACCAGCAGATTCACCAATAGTCCATTTTTCGATCAATCAGAAGATACCCAGCAAGTACCACCAAAATTTAGTCTTACAAAGAAACCATCTATCAATGTCGCAAAATATTCAACTCCTGTTGAACCAGTTGATTTGGTTGAACCCGTTGATGATTCATTTGAAAACTCTTTAGTCAATGGTTATAATGTTTCACCATCAAAAAACAAAAGGTTGTCAGAATCCGAATATTTAAGAAATATCATCAAGTTTCAAGCCATTTCAAGAGGTTCCATTTTTAGATATGGTATGTTTGTTGATCGAATCATACTGAAGTCAATGTCCGAAGATATCGTTCAAATGCAATCTTTAGTTAGAAGAGCCATTACAAAGAGACGCTATTTCACTAATACTTCATCTATATCAAACTATGAACCTGAAATTGTTGGTCTTCAATCTGCGATCAGAGCGAAATTACAAAAAGGCAGAATTTACTCTGTTACAAAAGCTCAACCAGACGATAAAACCGTCAACTTGCAAAGTATTTGTCGTGGTAAACTTATCAGAGATCGTTTATTTGATATAAAGATGGCATTGATAAGAAACGAGTACAGGATTATTGATGTTCAAGCTGCTGCAAGAAAAAGAATTGTTTATGATAGAGTTCAAAAGAGTGTCTTGTCAAAAGAACCAATCATCAAATTCCAATCTCAAGCTCGTCGTGTTTTATATTCTAGAAAAATCAAAACTTCAGTGAGTGAAGCTCATTCTGCAGAAGATGTTATTGCTATTTTACAATCTGTCATTCGTGCAAATAGAGTTAGACATGAAGTTGATTTGAAATTCACAGTTCTATCAAATAGTACTCCTCAATTATTGGAATTACAGTCTATTGCTAGGGGTGGTTTCGGAAGAAATAGATTGAATCATATTCTGGATGTTATAGATGAACAAGAACCATATTTGCAAGAATTAGGTGCTTTAATAAAAGGTAAAATTGTCAGAAGGAACGTTGTTGCTGACAAAGCCCAACTATCAAGACTATCTGGATCAATTGTTAATGTTCAATCTATTGTTCGTGGTGTTTTAACTAGATATGGGTTTGATTTATTCTTGGATACGCTAGATATGTATACGGAGGAGACTGTTGGATTACAAGCTTCTATCCGTGGTTACTTGTACAGAAAATCAAAGAATGAAGTCATGGAGTATTACAAGCAACATCTACCAGCAATAATTAAGATTCAAAGTTTCATTAGAGGGAATTATTTGGGTAATGCTTACAAGTCTTTGATCTCGATGGAAAATCCACCATTATCAGTGATTAAGAAATTTGCCTACTTGTTGAATAATAGTGATGTTGATTTCGAGGAAGAAGTTAATTTAACCAGAATTAAAGAAGCCATAAATGAGAAAACTGCATCTAATGAATCTTTGGAAAAACATATCGGTCAACTTGATTTGAAAATTGCCTTGTTACAAAAAAATAAGATTACTTTAGATGAATTGTTGTTGCAAAAAGATACTGTGCTTCCAAATTCTGATCATAACCATTCCACAGTTGATGTATCTTCTTTAAATAGAAAAGCTAAAACAAGAATGGAGTTATATGAGAAGTTTTTTTACTTGTTACAAACCCAACCAGCTTATTTAACAAGATTAATTCAAGGTGATTATCGTGGTGTTGATGTTGCTTTGAAAATTTTCAATAATTTGAGATCTGAGGAATTACCAACTAGAGAAGAATACTTGTTTGTTAGCTTGATTGAATCTACATTAAAGGATTTTATTACCAAATCACATTCAATTGATGATTTACAAAAAACAGACAAGATTGGATGGCAAAGACTACTCAAAACTTTCAATGAAACTCAAAAGAAACCCTTGGTTGATATGTTTGGTGAAATGGTTGAGAACATTATGAGTGATTCTCAGTTAGACATTGAAAGTGATCCCGTGCTTATTTATAGAATAGTCCACAATACCCCTAGATCAATAGCAGTTGATAAAGCAATTGAAGATCCAGATACCAAAGCAACATTCATTACTAATTTGCAACATTTGAGAGAATTTGGCTCACAGATATTCCGTGTTTTGAATGATGATTACGAAAAATTGCCAATTCATATTAGACTTCTTGCAAACATTGCTTATAAGGCCTCAATGAAGAAATACCCAACAAACTTAGAACAAGACCATTTGGCAAATGCTGGTTATGTTATTATTAATGGGTTCGTCAAGTTGATTCTTGAATCACCAGATATCTTCAAAATTTCACCAATTAATGTTTCTCATAATGCAAGAAAGAACTTGAATGGAATTAGTAAATTATTAACTCAATTATTCACAATGAAGCCTTTTGGATCAGATAGTATCTATTTGCAACCTTTGAACAAATTTATCAATTCTTCTGTTGATGGTGTTCGCTCTTTGATCAAAAGTATTATTGATGTTGGTGAGATTGACAGCGTCTATAACATGACAGTCTATGATGATATGACTGCTCATAATAGACCAAAGTTAACACTAAGAATTTCAGATATGTTATCAATTGATGAGCTTATTAGACAAGAAATCAAAACGGTAGCTCCAATGAAGGATGACACATTAAGAGATATTTTACATGAATTGAAATCAAACAATGCAAATGATATATCTAGAATAAGTGGGCTCTATACATTAAGTTTGAATCCATCTAGTATCAGATCATCTACAGAAGAAACAAGAATTAAAGCCCTATTTATGCAAGCCAAAAGATGTGTTCTTTACATGATTCAGGTTCAAGATGACAAGAATGACTTGTATGATTTGTTGAGATCTAAAATTGATGCTATTCATGAAATTAAGTTTAAACAAATCATCAACAATGAAAAGAAGGATATTCAAATGAATCGTGCTAGTGAATATGTTAATGATGGACAAGGTTTCTTGGGTGATTTGAGCAGCATCACATATCACAAGCTGAAACAATTATCATTAGAAAGAATTTTGGAATTAGAGGCAATGGGACGCTTAACGAGAAGAGATTCTTTCCAAATTTTATTGAATGAGATTGCTTATGATATAAAGACTAAACATGATCAAAGAATTTCACGTAAGAAGCAGTTATCAATTGCAGAAAATACATTGATAAGATTAGATGAAAAGGAGAAATTTTTACAAGATCAACTGAATGCGTATAATCATCATATTGATAAATCAATGGAAGAATTACAATCAAGACCAACAAGGACTAAGAGAATAATGCCATTCACTAAACAGTTTTTCTATGAACGTGAGCTTAAAAAATCTGGGAAGTTACCAAAGTTTGGAGCCTATAAATATTCATCAAAGAGACTGTATGAAAAAGGTATTTTAGTTGAACTTCGTGGTTTGGATCAAAATTTGGGATCTTCAGGTACTTCATTCTTTGGCGGGTTTAATTTCCCAAGAATTGACTTCATGTTCAATTGTGATAAACCAGGTGTTTTCACCATTTCCAGTAAGAGTGGTACACTGGCTGTTAATGGATCACTAGCCACGCTTACAATTGATGAACTGCTGGAGTATCAATTTGAAAATAAATCCTCTATTCCTCTATTTGATGGGATGGTGAAATTTGATACAAATTGTTTGATTAATTTCATTTTCAAGAAATTCTACCACTCTAATGAATAATTTATGATTTGTTGCAAGTGTTAGGATCTAAACAGGCTCGAAGGACATTATTAGTGTATTTTAATAAGACAGTTTACGTTAAAAAAACAATATAAATGTATTGAATTTGTGCCCATGAGACAATGTTGTAATCTCTTCTCCTTTATTTTATGGCTGATCCTCATTATTATTTCTGTTGTTAACCACCGCTTCTGCCACAGCACTTAATTCTTCCTGATTGTAATAATTCTCCGAGCCCAGGTTATTGTCATTATCATCAGCATTTTTGTGAATTCTAGTCTTTTCATCATCTTCATCATCATCTCTTCCTTCACCATCATTACCACTCTCAGCAGTATCCCCTTGGTGTTCATCATGAAGAGCTCTATGGCGTGCTTGTTGCATAATCCATTCATCTCTGGAGCTTAGATCAAATAAAGATATGTTTTTGAGTGATTCCATAGCAGCTTTCCTTAGCTCTGATGCCCATGTCTCTTGTTTTGAAGTATCTGATAGTTTTAGCCAATTTTCAGAAGCATTATGTACTTGCTCCATAATCTTTTTGTGAATTTCTTCACCTTGTTTGCCATCTAAAAATTTTGAGTTCAAAAATCCACACAGTAATCTATAAGTCTCTAAAGTTGGAGGGTCGTGTGGCCATTGATTAGGCGAAAGAAAAAATATGACCAATCTTGCGAACGTAGGATGAGGTTCAAGTTCAGGTTTGTTGAACCTTGAAAGAAATTCACGCTCTGCAACGCTTTTAGCTCTAAGGATTCTTTCTCGAACTCTTCTTTTAGCTCTTGACCTTTCTTTAACATCTTCTCTTGCATAATACTTTCTTGATCTCAATCTCCTTCTCTGTTTGATCACTTCAATATCACCTCTTCGTTTAACATCAGCTCTCATACGTGTAATAAGGTCAACAGGATGTGATTCTGTACCTTTTTTCAAATCAAGATGACGTCCCATTGAACCAGCATGAGAGAAAGTTCTTTGGCAAAATGGACACGTCTTTTTAGGATCAGATCCTGGTGGTAATTGTGGGATCCCTGGTATATATTCCTGGTGTTCTTCAGATCCTTCTTCATTGGCATTTTGTGAATCAGCCTCAGCACGAGCTCTTTGAGCTTCCAAAGCAGCTCTTCTATAGGCAGCAGCAATTGATGGGTCAAGATAACCCTGTTGGTTTTCCAAATTTGAAAGATCCACAGCTAGTACATTTGCGACATCAAGGTTTTCTATGTAGTTGTTGATGTTTGAGTTTAGTTGACCATTGTTGTTGTTATTAGTATTGTTGTTGTCTTGGTCATGCCCGTTCGACTGATTTTCATTAGCAGCATCTTTATCAGCATTTGAAGACGAGTTATTTGAGGATGTCTGCTCGTCCGGTCTTTGATCACTTGGTTGGTTTGAGCCTTCCTTCATCTTGTTTTGTCTCTTGATTTCAGTCCTCAAAATGGTGCACTTGACCTGGTTCTGATAGTTATGCCGTTTTTTTTCTCTGTTGTTAAATTCGCGAATCGCGAATGCATTCTGCACTATTGGGAGGACAACTACAGGGAACAGAAGCTCTTTCTTTAGTCGTTAATTAATTCATTAAATGTTGAAACTTGGTATGGTGTGGATCGATATGATATTCATGCTTCTGGCCTGGTCTCCTTTTCTTCGTTACCTAACCCCTGAAAGGAAACATAACAGAACCTTGTGCCCATTCATTGCTTGGATCTTCAGGACCAAAGCTAGCTCTGACAACTGACACTTCAAGCAACTGCTTCACGTTGAGCCATGCAATGTATAGATTGAAAAGGTCCTTCACCAATACCAACAAAACACTCCCCATTAAATTTGCAATATATGTAGCCTCATCCGGAGTTGAAGAATACTTATTACAAAAAGTATTAATTTTGACCACTTTAAGAAGTAATTTACCTAGTTTGGCTCCCAAAATTGGCCATAAAATTGTGGTTAATATGCTCATAAATCTTGATCTTTTGTGGAAAACTGTGCTATAATCTCTTGAGAAAATTGCCTTAGTTTCTGTCCATAAACGTTTACGTATAGCAGCCCTCTCCTCATCTGATGTACCGAAAAGACAGCTATACAATCTCTGGAAAATGTTTTGAGATTTTGAATTTTCTTTTAATGTGATCTTGTCCTGGCTCTCCCTTTCAAAAGTTTCTAGTTCTTCTAAGGACAGTCTATCGGCTAAATAAATTGGCTTCACTAGCTTAGTCCAACTGTAATATAATCTGTTAAATGTCATTGTGTAGAATAAAGAGTATATTCTCTTTAATGGTTCAGAAAATAGTAGGAAAATTTTTGGCCCTGAATTTGAGAAACCTTTAACTAGATTTGGGAAAAAGAATGTAGGATAAACACTAGAAAACAAATCCAAATAGGCATTTTCAGATCTCAAGCCGTATAAAAAGATAGGGAATGAACCTAGTAAAAATAACTGTCTTGAGCCCACTTCTTCATTACTTAAAGCAACATTTATACGACCTGACTTGAAATCAAGTAACTTTGTCAAAACACTTTCAGGAGCAATAGATAGGAACAATTGTAACCCACCAGACACAAATATTCCAACAACTGAGATTGCTAGTGAGCATGCAATAGAAGAACCAACAACGGCCATTAACCCAGTCTTGGTGATTTCCCTAGACACACCCTTAATCAGATTATGTAAACTCAATAATCTCGAAGGTTTGATGTCAATGAATAGATAAACTCCACATTGGGGGCACTTGACTCTAGTCTTCATAATATGGTGTTTTTTGAACGCACCATCTTTTATAACAGCAACCGGCACACCTAGACGGAACCCATCAGCTGGACTAGCCATAGCACCGCCATTATTGTCTAGCTGGGGGTCATCTCTTGCTCTGTACTCAAGATCTGAAGCCCAATCTGTTAAGCATCTAGCATGGGCTCTTAATGAACATTGACACATCTGTACCAACTTTGAAGAGTCTGATGGACGAGCCAAAGGTGGACGCTCATCCCCTGTTCCAAGGCAAATGTAGCAACGATCTTGTCCTTCAGACATTCGGATCCTTTTCTTTGGTTTCGTTATTCTTCGATGATTATTGTTGCATTATTGCCTTTCATTTAACATTTCCTTCCGTCAAAATCTGAAAATTACATAATCATGTGTATAAAATTACATAATCATTTTACATATGAGATTCATTTGAAAAGCTATACAAATTCCAAATTTCAGCGACCAAAAATACCAAAGAAGCCCTTTTTCTTGTTTTCGGTTTGCTCTTGAGAAGCATGTGCTTTTTCTTGAGTTGTTTGTTTTTGGAACTGAGTTTTGGTGTCACTTTTATTATAGGAAATATAGTTGAATGCAACATCAAATAGCACTGGTTTAACAGGTGCAGCTTCAATTTGGAAATTAACAATATTTTTGTAGTCATTTGAAAACTTGTAAACATCATCTGCAACTGATTTATCTTTTGACAAACCTTGTTCAATTTGTGCTAAAACATGACTGTTTTGTTTCAATGTTAAAATGTCTGATTGTAAAGTTTGTAAATCTTTATTACTTATGAATTCAATCTCAACAGTGAATTTAGCATCTTTTAAAGATTCTAGGGATTTAGTGCATAGCAATAATGACTCTTTGTAAGACTTATCATCAAAGTATATTTGGCCAATCATCTTCAATTTCAAGCCTTGATAATATTGTGATAACAATTCCAAATTTTGAAACAACTCATCATCAGAATATACACCTGGTAATTCTTTGATTTCATTGATAGTTGTTATAATAGTATCCAAGATTCTTAAGGATTCCTTTTTATTCCCAGATAATAGAGTTTGATCTCTTCTTAATCTCGTTATTAAAGAACTGTATTTGATATAGGCTAATAAAATTTGATCATCTTGTTCCTCATCATCATTTTGATCAGCTTTAGAAATAAAAGATGAATGATTCTCTAAGGCTTCTTGCCATAGGATCAATGCGTTATCATATGATTCCAAATCATCGAATTTAACGTTTTGAGCTCTTGATAATAATCTTGATGTTGTTTCATCTTTCACTCTAGCAGTATAACTTCTCCAATCGATTTCTTTAATCAATTCAGCTTCTTCATCAGCTTTTAAAAATGAACTGTCTTTAGCATCAATGAATTTAAAAGTTTCCGAGTTTTTAGCAGATTCATTAGCAATAATCTTGGAATATTCATTCAAATCAATTGAGATAGATTTAGAATCTCTATAAGTTGCCAATTTGAAAGGTTCATCTATAGTTTCTTCGATGATATCCTTATACAAGATTTTATTTTCTGCAATGTCACCATGTTTTTCTAAAAATTTCAATCCAATTCTAGCTAAAGAATATGAAGAGATTGCAACTTTCCATTTTTTAGAGACAATAGCTAAATAAGCTTGTAATAGTTCTTTATAAACCAAAATTTCTAATCTTTTGGTTTCATCTGATTCGTTTTGTGAAATTTCAACTAAATTTTGTGAAATTTTTAAACTTTTTCTTAATCTTGTTGATAATAATTTTTGCTTTGATTGTGCATTAGTTGATGAATTCAAATCTAATAATGCTTTGATTTCCAATGCGTATAAATAATCCCTTTCAGCTTCTAAGATGGATAGCAAATAATATTTATTATCACTTGAATAATCATCTGAAGTGATTTTCTTGCTTTTATAATTCTTTGTATCTTTAATTTGAATCTTTAAATAACGCTTCAACTTGTGTATTCTTCTTGTGACTTTGACTCTTTGTTTGCGGAAGTCTTCGGATGTTTGTAGGAAAGCACTATTTCTAGCACCAAAAGTGAGTGCCAATGGACTTTCAGACATGGCGATTGATGATGATGACGATGATTCTTGTCAGCTGATTGAGTTTTCAATCCATTTGAGTATTTTCGCTTTTCTCGACGACGTTTTTTTTTTTTTTCATGATTTTGGAAACACGGTACAAAATGGCAGACGAACACTTTTTTTTCAAACACATCATCATTTGAACAATAAGGCATTGCATTAGAAGGGCATTGGAAGAATGAGCGAGTCATCTCATAGAAAGAGCATTATTGTGCTGCTTATCTGCATTGGTGGGATATATGCTAGTTTCTTGACTTGGGGGTTCCTACAGGAGCAAATATCCAGTCAAAAATTTGGGCCAGATGCTCAAGTGTTCCATGCTCCATTCTTTATAAATTTGATACAGAACTTGTTTGGATTCATAGTAGGGTGCATCTACTTGAGCTACAAGAACTCATATGTCAATAAGAATGAAAGAGTCTCGGTATTCCAATCACAGCTATTGAAATCATTAACTCTTGTTGCATTGACTCAATCATTATCTTCACCTATTGGTCTTTCATCAGTGGAACATGTTGATTATTTACTCTACACTTTAGCCAAAAGTTGTAAATTAATACCGGTGATGGTTGTTCATATTGTATTATACAAGAAGAGTTTCCCACCTTATAAATATTTAGTTGCTGGTATTGTCACTGCTGGTGTTGTTTTGTTTACACTTGGGAATCCATCAAAAAAAACTGGAAATAGTTCAAGTTATGGAAATGTTCCATTGGGTCTTTTCTACCTCTCCATTTCGTTACTTTTGGATGGACTTACAAATTCAACTCAAGATATTTTATTCAAAGATAACAAGAAATTAACAGGTGCTCATTTAATGTGTGGATTGAACTTTGTTTCATTTTGGTTAACTTTGGGATACGCAGGATTGTTATCCAATCAATTACACTATGCTCTAAATTTCATCAACACTTATCCTTTGATATTAAAAGAAATACTGCTTTATGCCTTATTTGGTGCAATTGGTCAGATATTTATCTTTATCACATTAGAGAAATTCGGTTCTCTAATATTGGTCACCGTTACTGTTACCAGAAAGATGATGTCGATGTTATTAAGCGTTTTTTTATTTGGTCATGATTTGGGCGTGTATCAATGGACAGGTCTATTCTTAGTATTTGGAGGTATTGGATTCGAGGCATTCTTGAAATTTCAACAAAAACCTGATGCTACATTAAAAGTTAAGAAAAATTGATTTTTCCACACAATGTATACTTATTTTGCTATAGATTTCATAGAAATTAATAAAATTCTGAAAGAAAACCCTTGACTTTTTCAACAAGTATGTCAACAGCACCAGGCTCTGACTGAGGTCCGACATTATGAGCAGCTCCTTTAACGAGCCCACCATATTTTGACCAGTATTTTGGATCGGTAAATGATTTGTATCGTTCAACAACAGCTTCTTTGTTGATCTTTGGGGGAACGAACTCATCAGATCCTGAATATAGTACTAATAAAGGTTTATCAATTTTACCAAAAGTTTCCTTCAATTGTGAATCTGCTAAATCACTTGAAAAATAATCATCATCTCCACCTGCTTCAGATAAAGAAATCCATCTATAAGCATTAATTGGAGCACCAAAGAACTCTTTTGAAAACTTCTTTGGTAAAAGGGCATCTGGACCATGTTTTTCATAAACATATCTCGCTTCATGGTTGAATTCAGTGAGACTCTTTCCAGCTTCTTCAAATCCCATAACCATAGCCTCTCTATCAGAAACTGGTGCTTGTAAAACAATACCATCAATATCACTCCCTCTATTTAGCAAATAGTGAATAGAATCTTGACACCCAGTGGAATGACCAAACAAGATAACTTTTTTCTTATTCAACTTTGTTCTCAAATATTTAACCAGTAATCCAATCTCTTTAATATCACGATCCAAAGATCCAGTACCCCAGCCGATATATGATGAGCTCATATGGATTTGAAAGATGGACCAGCCATCAGGTAAACTTTTTTCATTGATTGTTGGAACATAAGGAACAGTTAACAATCCATCACCAAGACCACCGATAAAGATGATGGCATTAGGAGATTCTTTATCACCGTGGTCAAACTCGAATGCGGTGAGCCTGGAGGCGTATTCGTGGACTGTACCTCTTTGTGGCTTGAAACTCATAATATTAAGCAGAAACCTTGAGATCAATTGACTGAATTTGAATAAGGCAATAAGTTGTTGCTCTAAAGAGAATTGCCAGTTTTTTTGTTAAAGCTATTGGTCTAAGTGGCTCGCGACTGCAAAACGCGTTCGCGAAATTTTCTGGTGATCTAAAATTTCGAGATGTTTGGGCTGTGAAATGCTTACAATTTAGCTCACAATTTTGGAATTTACAGAGACAAAGTTGTGGGAATAGCAGATGATGTGGCAAATAGAGAAGTTTTGCTGTGCACTGGCGTCCTTGTTTCCCAAAGTCCTGAGTAATGGGCTCTATCTATGGGCTATCTATGCGTTTTGTTATGAGTTGTGTCTCCGATCTATAGGAGGCTTGACTGGGTTGATATTGGCCAGTATAGGATTCTATTTGGCTGTTCAAGGTATCTACATGTATTATAAAGTTGTGAAGCTGGGTGCTGGATCACCTTTGGACTTTGCAGAGTTGAGGATTGATAGCGATTATAATGATTTGGAATCGAGTAGAACGGAACCACCACAATTTTTGGTTGATAATTCATTGATGATCAAAAGTAATGGGAAATTCAGATTTTGTGATAAATGTAAAGTGTGGAAACCTGATAGGTCCCATCATTGTTCAAGTTGCAATAGGTGTTGTTTAAAGATGGATCATCATTGTCCATGGTTTGCAACTTGTGTTGGGTTCAAAAACCAGAAATTCTTTGTGCAATTTCTTGTAAATACAGTGATATTTGGTGAATATGCTCTGCTTATATCTGGTATTGAACTATATCAGTTTTTCAATAATGAAGAATACAATGATGAATTTTTAAGTCTAAATTTGGTCCTGTTGGCAGTATTAGGGTTAACTGTCACCGTTGCAGTTGGTTTATTCACAGGTATTACACTATACTTCTTGTCCTCCAATTTGACAACGATAGAGTATTATGATTACATGAGGTACAGAAACAACTTGGAGATTGCAAACGATAGTTATTATAGATATTCAAAACAACCGTCTGCAAAAGATTTAGGAAATGCTTACAATTTGGGATCTATAAAAGCTAATCTCAATGCTGTGCTTGGAACAACGTGGCTTGAATGGATACTCCCAATAGAAAACAAAGGCTTTTCAGATCCTTATGAGAACAGAGGTTTATATTTCCCATCAAATCCAAAGATTCGTGCAGCTCTGGTGAGCAACTCAAAGCTTCAACAACAACTACTGCATGAGCTACAACGCTCTTCAGTCTCTAATTCGGCAGATACCGATAGACTTGTATGACAGAATCATATATATTTTTATTTACATATTTAGCATTTACTATTTAACGATGATCAAAAATCATTCAAATACTTGTAAGCTTTTCGCGAATGCTTATAAAAATTTAAAAACTCGAAGACATGGCTCAACATTAAGAAGTTTACACTCTCAAAGTCCTTCAATAGTGGTACAGGATGGTTAGTATTGTTGGATATTATTATAATGGGATCATACTGACAAATTATAGGTGCTCCCCATAATAATAGGTGCCGGTGTGACCTTCATCGCAGTAACCGTGAGTTATAAATCATTTGAATCTAAAGAAGAACACCGCTAACCAAGACCAAGGCAAGATCAGCTCTTGTGGCATTGTCAAAATACAAGAGACTTTCAAATATAAAGATTGCACAAATGAATGGGATAAGGCTCACAGAACATGGCTCAAATAATTACATGAAAGTGAATTCACATCTTCGAGAAAAATTCAAGAGGCATCCAGGTGGGTTCAACCCAAGGCATATGACTGAAGGAGAAGCTTTAGACATTTTAAATATAACTGGTGACGAGATCATGAAATTAGACAAAGATATGTTAAAGAAGAAGCATAGAGCATTGATGATACAAAATCATCCAGACAGAGGAGGAAGTCCGTATTTGGCTATGAAAATAAATGAAGCAAAGGAGGTCCTAGAAAAGAGTTATATGTTCAGAAAATGAGCAGCCCTGTTTGTTTGGCAGGTTAGAAATGCTGATAAATGGTTATAGAGATGACAAACCATAGATGTTCAATATGGAACTCATCACAAGGCTAATGTTACACCAAATCGCCCACCAGTATACCAGTTAGTACACAAAGAATCCATCTATCAGATACAAACTGACTATGATTGGTTAAAGAAAGAGAAGTGTGTTTTCTGATCTTTTCATTAAAAGATCCTCATTTTTCCACTTCAACCAAGATATTTCACCCATCTGAAAAGAAATACTGGGGTGAATCTTTTCTATAATTTTATCAAATTGCCCCCTCCACAAATTACATTACAATTTACCACATTACATTAATATAATATTCAAAACTTAGTTAGAATCAGTTTTGTAGTCTATGAATATTGGCCTCATTGGAACCTAGATCCGAGCCTAGACTATTATTTAGAGCCTAGTCCAGTAATCGCGAAAGGCCTTCTCCAGATTTTGTTTTCAACCGACAACAGGAAAAAGTTGAAACTAATGACTAAAGAACCAGACTAAAGCAATATAGGCGAAGGTCGAGAGTTTGAAGGATAGAAAATGCCTGGAAAAGTCAGCACTTCTGAATGGATAACACCATCCAAGCCTGAGTTGGTGAATGTCGACTTTGAAGAAGAATTGGGTTACTCATCCTCGGTCAAGATAAGCTCTGACTTGAATGATGTTCTGTACTCATCGTTGAAAGGTCAAAACAACAAGTACTTATCGGTGAAACTGATTGGCTCAGAGCTTTATAAAGACTCTATTGTATATGAGGTACAGAATGATTATTTGGAGGGAAACAATCGAATTGAAATCCATGATCAATCACGGTTCAAGGACCATGCAAACTTGACAATTGAAAAAGCTTTGATTTCAACAATCCAACCAGTCAATATCACAAAAGCCATAATTTCGTTTCCTGAAGAATCATATGAGTTATTGAAAGGGTTTTCAGGTACTGCACTGCTCCAAGTATTGAAGGAAAAATTGAACCTAGATTTAATTCGTGAAGGGGATAAGCTATTAACTAATGGTAAAGTCTTGTTATGTGAACCAGTTGATCAAGGTAAGTTGACCAAGGACACTACGATCACATTGATCAAAGATTTTGCTGCAGGTTATGGAACAGAACTTGGTGAATATGGTGATGAAATCGAGAATGCAATTAGTCAATTGGATATATCAACTTATCTTTCAGTGTCAAAGGTCCAAGAAAGCGAATTCAAAGTTTATGCACTAGACAGACAAATTGATCATACCATTCCTCAACCAAATGAAACAGATGATAGTGAGCATTTAGCATTTTTGAAAGTTAATGATCTGGCCAAAATTGGTGTTCATAGTGGTGATTTTGTGGAGCTGGTCTTCAATAACATCACCAAATTGATCAAAGTTTTAACATTTATTGAACCTAACCATTATAAAGATTCTGGTGTTTATCTATCACCAATCTTTTTGATCAATAATGGCTTTCCAGAATCAGTCACCATAAGAAAAAGTGATCGTAAACTTTCAGATATCCCACTAGCCCGAGAAGTTACACTAACTCAGATTGCGTCACCAATAACATTGAACAGGCTTTACTCTTCTGCAATCCAGGCCAAATTAGTTTCACATTTCAAATCGATATCAAGAATAATCTCAACGGGTGATTTGATTCCAATTACAATTGATTCAATATTGGCGAAATCCTTACCGGAAACGAATGGTAACATCTTGATCCTACCAACCGGAGAGCCTGATACTGTTGCATGGCTCAAAGTTCAAAGTATCGATGGTAATACTGAGAAGGACTTTAAGCAATACATCTTGGATTCAGTTAATATTAGTATGCATATATCAGGATCAGTACCAGAAGCTCCACCGGCTGTCACTGATGATTTAAATTGGTTAAAATATATTGGGTTATCAGATTCTTTTAATTACTTGAAAGGTTCAGAAACTACATTTCCTTATGCAAAAAAATTGGCTAAGCTTATTAAGACATCGTTGGGTAATCCAAAGTTGAGAACTACTGCCTTGTTAAGCTCGTTGAATCGTAATGTTGGGAAATCATTCATTGTTAATAATCTTGCATCAATATTGGGTGCACATGTTGTTACTATTGACGGTTATGAAATCCTGAATCCAACTTCAGAGTTTAAAACAATTGGGACATTATCTGGTAAGCTGGATAGAATTGTGGAAAGTTGTTCAAAGTTGATTGTTTTCGTTAAACATATCGAAGCTTTGAATTTCAAACAACAAGATCAACAAAACCCTAAACCAAGCCCTGCTGCTGCAAAATTAGTGGAATTAATAAAGCAATATACTAGCGAAGGTGCTGTTTTCATTGCTTCTACAAATAACCCAGATAGTTTGCCAGATGAAGTTCGTTCAAATTTTAGATTTGAGATAGAAGTACCTGTTCCATCAGAGGAAGAACGCAAACAAATTTTCCAATATCTTTTCCAAAACAGTAAAGGGTATTCATTAAGAAATGATGTCTCTTTAAGCTCATTAGCTTTACAAAGTGCTGGTTTAACACCTCGTGATTTGATATCAATTGTGGAAAATGCAAAAGATTTAGCATCTGATAGGTTGGAGGAGATTGCTGAAGAACACGGTGTTAATGTCGCCAACATCATAAATCATAACTCAATAAAGATCACACCTCAAGATTTTGAGAAAGCTATAAATGATGCAAGAAATAAATTTAGTGATGCGATTGGTGCTCCAAGAATTCCAAATGTCACATGGGATGATATTGGTGGGTTGGACATGGTTAAAGGTGAGATTTTGGATACTATTGATATGCCATTGAAACATCCTGAACTATTTAGTAATGGTGTTAAAAAGAGAAGTGGTATTTTATTCTATGGTCCCCCAGGTACTGGTAAAACATTATTAGCTAAGGCCATTGCTACAAATTTTTCATTGAATTTCTTTAGTGTTAAAGGTCCTGAATTGTTGAACATGTACATCGGTGAATCAGAAGCTAATGTTCGTAAAGTTTTCCAAAGAGCAAGAGACGCAAAACCTTGTGTTGTTTTCTTTGATGAATTGGATTCTGTTGCTCCTAAAAGAGGTAATCAAGGTGATTCTGGTGGTGTTATGGATAGAATTGTTTCCCAACTATTGGCAGAGTTAGACGGTATGAGTGGTGGTGATAGTGGTGATGGAGTTTTCGTTGTAGGTGCTACGAATAGGCCAGATTTATTAGATGAGGCACTATTACGTCCTGGTAGATTTGATAAAATGTTGTATTTGGGTGTTTCTGATACACATGATAAACAACAAAAAATCTTGGAGGCTTTAACTAGAAAGTTCAAAATGGATCCAAATATTTCATTACAAACAGTTGCTGATAGTTGTCCATTCAATTTTACTGGTGCTGATTTCTATGCACTATGTTCAGATTCAATGTTGAATGCAATGACAAGAGTTGCAAATGATGTTGATAAAAAAATTGCCAAATATAATGAAAACAGAGATGAACCAGTTTCAACGAGATGGTGGTTTGATAATGTTGCCACTCAAGATGACATCACAGTCTTGGTGAAAGATGTTGATTTCGATAAGGCAAGACGAGAATTAACACCAAGTGTTTCAGCAGATGAATTGGCACATTATGTGAGAGTGCGTGAAAACTTCGAAGGTGGAAAGACCCAACAATGATTTGGAGTTTTCAGTTTTCAAATATAGTGATTGATTTCCATGTCACATCTTTTGCAGAATCCCAACTCATTTCATCCATTTCAACTTGTAGCTGGTTCCATCTTAACCAAATATCCATTCTTGAGCTTAAACCTCCACCTTTCTCAATGGGTTCACCGAATTTATTAACCAAATCTTTACCTGTAGCTTTATTTGTGATTCCAAATGGTAAGAACTCAGGGTTTACAGGCTTGAATTTTTTATCTGTCTGGTAGAAATCAATTGAATCCAGTTTCCCATCAACAAAGGCAAATGAGATGCCGTCATTGTAAAAATTGTATAATGTTGTATTTTTGAAACTTTTCTGTTCGCTTTCTGACAGTTTGAGACCTTTTTCAGAAATAAATTTGATAAAAGCCTCCGATTCTTTCGAGACACCAATCAACTTTAACCATTCATCATCCAGAATATCCATTTTCCACAACCAAACAGACAGATCAATTGCACAAACACATTTTCATCAGTTTTGTAAAGCTTACACCAATTATAGTGAGAAAATACATTCGCGAAAACAAAACAGAAAGTAGTGGCCCTTTCCAACTTCCGGGTGCCCCCTCCAAAAATCCAAAATCCCAATTTTATCAAATCGTCTCTCTTTGATACCTTCGAGAAAAGAACATTTGAAATCTTTCAAACAGCTGCTTATTGATCAACTGAATTGAGATCAAGAGTATAGACAGGCTTAATCACAATGGCCACTTCCAACTACGCGCAAAAGCCGTTTGATCCAATCACGGTGAAACCAAATGATAAAAAAAGTATGTACTTTGTTGATGGCCTGCTTTGTTAACATTTAAACTAACTAATTCCTCAATAGGAGTTGCTTATTTCTACGATGGTGAGTGAATCAAATGATTTGGTATTTATCTGTTGTTGAGGTGACCTGACTAACTGAATCCAATTAGCTGATGTTGGTAATTACGCTTATGGTGCCGGACATCCAATGAAACCACACAGAATAAGAATGGCACATTCATTGATTATGAATTATGGGTTGTACAAAAAGATGGAGATTTACGTGAGTATTTGATGTACTGCTGTTTATTAATGGTTTACTAACCGTTCCAATAGAGAGCCAAACCTGCTACAAAGCAAGAAATGTGTCAGTTCCACACTGATGAATATATCGATTTCCTTTCGAGAGTTACACCAGATAATTTAGATATGTTTCAAAAAGAAAGTGTCAAATTCAACGTTGGTGATGATTGTCCCGTCTTTGATGGGTTGTACGAATTCTGTGGTATCTCTGGTGGTGGTTCCATGGAAGGTGCTGCTAGATTAAACAGAGGTAAATGTGATATTGCAATCAATTACGCTGGTGGGTTACATCATGCTAAAAAATCAGAAGCTTCAGGTTTCTGTTATTTGAATGATATTGTCCTTGGTATTATTGAATTGTTGAGATACCATCCAAGAGTGTTGTATATTGATATTGATGTTCATCATGGTGACGGTGTTGAAGAAGCTTTTTACACCACTGATCGTGTCATGACTTGTTCTTTCCATAAATATGGTGAGTTTTTCCCTGGTACTGGTGAGCTTAGAGATACCGGTGTTGGTAAAGGTAAAAACTATGCTGTTAATGTTCCATTAAGAGATGGTATTGATGATGCCACTTATAAATCTGTTTTTGAACCTGTGATTTCTAAAATTATGGAATGGTATCAACCTTCTGCAATTGTGTTACAATGTGGTGGTGATTCTTTATCAGGGGATCGTCTTGGTTGTTTCAACTTATCGATGAAAGGACATGCTAATTGTGTCAACTTCTGTAAATCTTTGAATGTTCCACTTATGATTCTTGGAGGTGGTGGTTATACCATGAGAAATGTTGCAAGAACATGGGCTTTTGAAACAGGGTTGTTGAATAGTGAGCTTTTGGACACAGATTTACCATATAATGATTATTATGAGTACTATGGTCCTGATTATAAATTGGATGTTAGAAATTCAAATATGTACAATGCTAACAGTCCTGAATATTTGGATAAGATTTTGACACAGATATTTAGTAATTTGGAACATACCAAGTTTGCACCAAGTGTTCAAATAAATGATGTTCCAAAAGATGCTGAAGATTTGGGAGATGAAGATGAAGATTTACCAGATGCAATTGATACAAAAGGTGGTTCACAATACGCTAGAGATAACTTAATAACGCCAAAGACTGAGTTTTATTGATTCCAGTTGGTTGAAGCAATGTTATTTTTATGATAGTTCATTAGAATTCTTTTTTTATATTTCACATGTTTTGTACAATGTATATTTATGTTTGGGTCCCTCAGATTAACAAAAAAAATTTATCAGATAATATTTTTGATGTGAAATGTAAAATGAGCTTGTTCAATTAAACCTAATCTCAAGCTGGAACTTTTACGCACTTTTGAGACAACAAAATATTAAAAACGGTGTTGGAAAATATGGTAGCTGATATATTAGCAATTAGCCATTCCGTTAATCCCATACAATTTGACTAATGGATAAGTAATAGACATTCATGTCCAAGATTGTTGGTATCACTTGCTACCATTCATTGGTGACGAATCATTCTGGAAATATTACAACGCGTAATACTGGCGTATCTGGAAAACTCTATCAATCCGCCAGCAAGCTGTCAAAACCAACGAAAAAACTACTTTACTCCCTTTCCAGTACATCTCTTTTCCTTCACTGTTAGATTCAGCTCAGTTGTATTCGTTGTTCGACAATACTTCCTCCTTTTCGTATCGAAAATCGTAAAAGAAGTTCCCCAAATGCAGGTGCCTCGAGGTACCTCAACTCAATCTCAATCGAGAATAATTTTTGTAAATAATATTGAACGCGTTTGTTTACAATTTAAAGGGAATTGTATAGAAATCAGCTTTCAGCTTTCAAGCTTTCAAGTTTCGGGTGTATTATGAGTGAAGGGGGGCTCCTTTTCATGTTGATTGTGATATCGAGTCTGGACCTTGGACCCTTGTGCAATACAATATTTTTGGCTAAATGTGAATAACATGCACTTGAACATTGACACTTAACTACTTAATGGCAGCAATCAAATGTACATGATATATTTTTCATTCCCACAAGCACTTCTTTGTGACTAGCTGAACAGATGGGTAGGTAGTTTATTTCTGTGGCGGCAGCTTGTTGGATCCAGATTCACTTTCTACCTTTTCAGTTTCAATTTCAATTTAACAGTGATCAGAGCAGGTGGGTGAATTTTACTTCAACATCACTTTAGACAATCCAGTCAGAAACAAGTACCAATATTTTTATAAAGAAGTTACACTGGAAAGCTTGATACGCTAATCAAATTGATCTCTGATTATGACACCTCTCAAAGACTCGGAAACTGTAATGACGTTGTACCTACGATATCGGTGGTGCTTTGAAGTTCGAAGGGTCAATCTAAAAGTTGGAAGAAACAACTACGTAGGTTCTCTTCTCCAGGTCAGTAGTTGATGTATTAAAAGTTGTTTTTCAAATTGTGATGTGAGCTCAAAGTGGAGTCGACTTGACTCCTGACTCCTGACGTTGAAAAGTTGGCCTAGCTTGTGGATGCGCGCTGTCACCTGTGGCATTCATGATCAATGTACACATAATTGCAATAATTAAAAATACGACAACGTCGTTGGCCAACAACGAAAAGATATTAATTAATGGCAAATTTCAACAACTCATTAGATGCTTCATGTCCGCAATATCCTCATCATCATGACAAATTGCGTAGCTTTGCGAACCCATAAAACCAAACCTTTTTTGGGTCTATGGTAACCAACCATTTTACTTCAGTTGAAAGGGCTGGTTACAACTTTTGTGCTGTTCATGTCTCCAAATAATGGGCTTATTGATGAAGGAAATTGATGGCTTCTCGGATTTTTCTTCAAAAACTGAAGCTCTTTGCTGCAAGTAGATTAGGCCATGAGCGCATGCACCGGCAGGATGCATGATACCACATAACGTTCAAAAGAAAAACATCAACTGAAAGAAAATTCAACAACTTTTTGTTCATACAAGGGCCCAGAATTGGAGCTCAAAGTGGGCCAAAAGTGCTGGGGAGTGTCTGAGATGCTGTTTTATCTAGATGTATCGATGTGTCTGTAAATATGCTGTTCTACCACGTTCGGATTACCAGCACCTAATTCGGTACTAATAATTGGTAATATTTTCCTGCGCCGCTGTACGTTTTCATCTCTAATTTGATAGTTCTTGGTTGTTAAATTTGTATGGTATAACGTCTAACACATAAATCATTGAAGAAGGATTCTACAAATATTATTGTCGAAATATAATGATTCTATTAACATGAATTATATATTATTAATTATTAATATTTGTTAATATATTTGGTCCATATTGATCATATTTTACAAATATTACAGGTACGTATATTTACTAAAAATTCTGATCATAACCGCGTCTACGAGTAAATTTAATAACAATCGACGTGGTAGTCCAGGTAGGCGAATTAATTTAGGCAAGAGCTATAGTTAGCGGCCGCTTGCAACTATACATTTATTATCAAAATTACTGAATATTCATGATCGAGGAGCTGTAATATAGTTGCCCATGTTTTTGTATTTTTATAGTAAGGTAGCCCATGGCCGGTTTATAAAGATCATAAAGAATACAAGTTACAGTAGTTAGATAAAGATGTGCTTATATTATTAAATAACGTACACAAGCGAAGTAATTACAGCGAACACTAGCTCAAAATATCTATCATGATTGTAGGTACAGTTCAAAAAGCCATCATTTTCCGGATTCTAACTTGGCTTTGACTTTCATTAATGCAAAGCCATTAAAATAATCAAACGTGTATAATGAATAATATAGCAGTGATTCGTGAAGCCAATTAGCTCATGTATAACAAGTAGTTATTTGTATAGAAAGCCACAATCCCACCAAACTCATAAACGAAGCACTAGTTAAACTAATTGAAGTTTAATATTCAACTCTACTCGAGTGATCGACGAGTCTTGAAACGTTCAAGATGTATTGTACCTTTGTTTTACCCCTGATATTCGTTTCCTAGGTTCTCCATAGCTTTAGTAATTCCAAAGTTCGGATTTCAACGCGTTTTCATCATATAAAAGTACTACATACTACAAAGTAAACACTGTACATCTATGGAGACACACATAGAAAACATATGAGTGGTGACTGTAAGATGTAAAATGCTTAAATTTAGCACCCTTTTAATTAAATATTTCAACGTGGAATCAGATAATTGCAAGTTACAACTCAAAATTTACAAAAGAACAAAAATGTGCTAGCTTAACATAATATTATTGACTTTCCAAACCAAATTGAAACAGCTTCGACAAGAAGAAAAGGGTCAATTCAACCACATTCCGATTGCATCAAGGCCATATGAATAGTATCAGGGGATTTCTCGTTTTGCCTCGCTACATGGTACCAAAGTTGTAACGTCGTTGAAGGACGGCTCACTATAAACTCACGCTATTCTAGTTTAATGGAGCCAGAGCTGGAAAATGAAGGCTGGCTTCAGAAATTTGTAGGCTGAAGCTTTCCAAACATCTCCAACAAAAATGCGCTTTCCAGCAGAGCCAAGTATGTGTCACTGTTACAGTGTATCTTTCCCTCTGTCAACTAGTGAAATCCAGCATCATCTATGGATCATCTGACCATATCTATGATGCGATGCTTTTACGCCGCGACTGTTTCCAGTGTTCAGCGGCGAACAATCACAGATTCAGATCTTGAGTTCAAAAGGTATAGCATTTACAAACTTCCTTCAAAACTTTTCTTTTCTAGCTGGAAAAGCCACACACTTTTTAGTTAAAATTTGGGAGGATATCTTACCAAATTAGCTACTCTCGATACCTTTTTTGCCATCATCTATGCTTCCCAGATCTCGGGGAGTTTCTTTTCTTCATGCAAGATACATGCATCATGTGCTTTCTTCAGCATTGTAGATCCCGCATTTTCATAAAGAGAAATGCATTGTCATGTATTGTATAGATTGGATACTTGGGACATAAACCTACTTTTGGCATTCCGTCAACAAGAAAGAAATAATCAACTGGTTCTCGAGGAACAACAGACAGTTCACGAGGGACGTGTATATATAGAGCATGCCATCTCCTACAATGCTAATCGACAATCCATTAATTAACAATCGTTTTTCTGTGTGCTATTCAATCGCTTTAAATGGTTTCTTTCAAAGCTGTGACTGCTTTGGCAGCATTCGTTTCTGCTACAACAGCTCAAGTTTATTTCAATAGTTCTTCAGCTTTGGAATCATCAACTTTGTCAGAAGATAGCTCATTTATTTATTCTCCAAGTAGTACTGCTTCAGAATCATTAACTTCAAGTTCAAGTTCTTCAAGCGCCACTCCAACAGGTTCAGGTATTACAAATATCCAAGTTGTTGATGCTTACACTGGTTCCACTTCATCCACTTCTAAATTCCATTGGTTTAATATTGCGGTTAATGTCAACTGGGACAATAACGGTGCTACTTTATCCAAACGTGCTACCGAACCTTTAAGTTTCACTGTTCCAGATGATTTCGGTGCCTTCCCAGATGGTGATATTGATGTTTTACAAGACGGTCAAACCGTTGGTTCTTTGTCCCATGATGGTCAAGTTTTCACTTTTGATTTCACCTATGATGGTCTTATCAACACCAACGTCTCCTTCACTGCTTTATTGACTACTCAAGGTCTTGATTCAATCGCTGCTCCAGGTCCAGTCACCTATAATTTTGAGTCTTCAACTCGTGATTTTACCAAAACTTTGAATTTCGCGGGTAGAGATTTGACAACTGTCGGAAAAAATGCTGGTAACGATGGTGAAAAAGTTTGGTGGACCATTGATGTCCCAGCTTCTGCTTACCACGGTTCTTTTGACTTCAACACTGAAACTGATGGCTACAGCTTCTTACCAAACTTGCTCAAGTTAGAAATCGTGACTGGTCTTGATTCTTTCAACAACAAATCTGCTTCTGTTCCAGCTAATACTAATGACTATGTTTTGAATGCTAACTCAAACTCTTTGGTTTTGTCTTACACTGGTCCAATTAATGGTTTCTTCTTGAGATTGACTTACTTTGCTGCTCCAGGTCCATTAGTTTTCTGGCCCAATGAAGCTTTAGTTGGTGTTGCTCAACCAACTGTTTTACAAAAGAGAGATACTGTTTACTCAAACAGTGATAACTATAACATGGTCGCTGTTGCAAACATTGCTCCTGTTGTCGCTGACGTTGATGTTATTGCTTCTTCATCTATTCCAGCAGCTGATCCAACCTCTTCTGTCTCCTCAATCGCTTCTTTATCAGACTCTTCAGCTTCAATTTCATCTTCTGATGCTTCATCATTGATCTCATCAGATTTATCATCCATCTCTTCAGTTGCTTCAAGTGTCTCTTCAGATGCTTCCTCAATTGCTTCTTCAGATGCTTCCTCAGCAGCTTCCTCAGGTATTTCATCTGTTGCTTCTTCAACTGCTTCAAGCGTCTCTTCAGATGCTTCCTCAATTGCTTCCTCTGCTGCTTCAGATGCCTCTTCAGCTGCTTCAGACATCTCATCAGTTGCTTCTTCTGCTGCTTCAGATATTTCATCAATTGCTTCCTCAGCTGCTTCTGATGCTTCCTCAGCTCTATCATCAGATATTTCATCAATCACCTCTGGCGCTTCCTCAGCTGCCTCTTCAGCTGCCTCTGATATTTCATCAATTGCCTCCTCAGCTGCTTCTGATATTTCATCAATTGCCTCCTCAGCTGCTTCTGATGCTTCATCAGCTTTATCATCAGGGGTCTCCTCAATTGCTTCTGGTGCTTCATCTGGTGCTTCTGATATTTCATCAATTGCTTCATCAGCTGCTTCTGACGCTTCCTCTGTTGCCTCTTCAGCTGCTTCTGACATTTCATCAATTGCTTCATCAGCTGCCTCAGATGTTTCCTCTGCTGTCTCTTCTGGTGCTTCAGATATTTCATCTATTGCCTCCTCAGCTGCTTCTGATATTTCATCAGTCGCTTCATCAGCTGCTTCATCAGCTCCATCATCAGGTATCTCCTCAATTGCTTCCTCTGGTGCTTCTGATGCTTCATCAGCTCCATCATCAGCTCCTTCATCAGGTGTTTCATCAGCTCCATCATCAGGTATCTCTTCAGGTGCTTCATCAGTTGCTTCCTCAGGTGCTTCAGGTGCTTCATCAGCTCCTTCATCAGTTCCATCATCAGGTATTTCTTCAGGTGTTTCATCAGCCCCATCATCAGGTATCTCTTCAGGTGCTTCATCAGTCCCATCATCAGGTATCTCTTCAGGTGCTTCATCAGTCCCATCATCAGGTATCTCATCTGGTGCTTCATCAATTGCTTCCTCTGGTGCTTCATCAGCTCCTTCATCAGGTGTTTCCTCAGCTCCTTCAAGTGTTTCTTCAGGTGCTTCATCTGCTGTCTCATCATCCCCATCATCTTCAACTCCTGAACCAACTCTTGAAGGTTACTTACAAAATGGCCAACCACACTGGAGAATTACTGTTCCAGGCTCATTAGGTCCATGGACTGAAGTTGAAGTTACTTCATCAACCGATGGTTCCCGTTATGTTTTCACCAATGTTGATATTACCGTTGATGGTCAAGCTGTTTCAGGTACTACTGATGTTGAAGATCTTAGATATGATGTCTCATACTCTGAATCTATTGAAGCTTCTCAAGAATTAATCTTTGAAATCTTTTCTCAAGCTACTGCTGGTGCTCCATACTCAAGTGATGTTGTGTTGACCATTACAACTCCAGATGGTAGAAAATTGATCAAGAGAGCTACCAAGACATACTCATTATCAAACACCATTACTGAAGATGCTGCATCAATCTCATCCCGTGCTTCAAGTGCCGGCTCAACAGCTACCAACACCGTTGTAACAACTGCAACTGTGACAACAACTGAAAGTGGTTCTGTCAGTACTTTTGAAACTACTAGAACATTAGTGGAAACTTCAGTTATTGTTTCAATCTCATCTGGTGAAGTTACCACAGTCACAACTTTAGTTCCAATTACTGGTTCTGCTGGTCCAACTGTTACTGTTACTGGATCTAATGGTCAAGTCACTACCGTCACTGCAACTGGTTCTGGTGCTCCAGCTACTTCTCATGTTACATTCACAACAACTGGTCCAAATGGTGAAATTGTTACTGTTACTGGTGATGTCGTTACAACTACCACTGTTTCAAATGGTCAAGTTGTCACTTTAACTTCAACCTATTGTCCATTAACTGAAGCTCCAGTTGCTACTGTTACTGCTACTCCACAACATGGTGGTAAACCTGTTACTTTCACCACTATTGGCTCTGATGGTAAACCAACTGTTGTTGTCGGTGAAGAATACACCACTACATCTCATGCTGCTGGTGGTTCAATTGTTACAATCACTACCACTTATTGTCCATTGACTGACGCCCCAACTGTCACTTATGCTCCAGTTCACGGTGGCTCTCCAGTTACTTTCACTACTACTGGTGCTGATGGTAAACCAACTGTTGTTGTTGGTGAACAATACACAACTACTGCTCAAGCTGCTGGAGGTTCTGTTACTACTATCACTAAAACCTACTGTCCAATCTGTGAAGCTCCATCTACTGGTGTTCCAACAATTACTTATGCTCCAGTTCACGGTGGTTCCCCAGTTACTTTCACTACTACTGGTGCTGATGGTAAACCAACTGTTGTTGTCGGTGAACAATACACCACCACTTCTAAAGCTGCTGGTGGCTCAATTGTCACAATCACTACCACTTACTGTCCATTAACTGAAGCCCCAACTGTCACTTATGCTCCAGTTCACGGTGGCTCTCCAGTTACTTTCACTACTACTGGTGCTGATGGTAAACCAACCGTTGTTGTTGGTGAAGAATACACAGCTACTACTCAAGTTTCTGGTTCTGCTTCATCTTATGTTACCACTTATGCTGGTACTCCTGGTCAAGCTGGTCAAGCTGGTGCTCCTGGTCAAACTGGTCAAGTTCCAAGTGGTATTCCAGTCACTTTCACTAGTACCGGTGCTAATGGCGCAACTTCAGTCGTCACTGGTGTTATTGTTGAATCCACTTCAACTGGTGCCAATGGTGAAGTCTCAACTGTTTCATCTCTTTATGTTGCTCCAACTGTTGCTGCTACTGCTACTGGTGTTCAAGGTACTTCTTCTCCAAGTGAAACATTCATTTTCGTTGCACCAAGTGGTCAAGGTACTTCTGTTTCCACATCTACTGGTTATGTCGCTGTTGGTGTTACTACTAATGAACAAGGTCAATCAGTTTATTTCACAACCACTCGTTCAACTCCAACTGGTACAGCTAGAAGTCAAACTGCTGTGATTGTTGAATCAGGTAATGGTGTTGTTCAAACTCAAACTACTATTATTCCACCAGTTGCTGGTACCACTGTCGCTACTCCAGCTGGTTCTGCTCCACAAGCTACTGCTGGTGCCGCTGCTGGTTCATCTGGTGCTGCTAGTCCTTCTGGTGCTGCTGGCTCTTCTGGTGCTGCTGGTTCATCCGGTGCTGCTGGTCAAGGCTCATCTAATCCATCTGCTTCAACTTCAGCAGGTTCCGGCGCAGCTGCTCCAAGTGTTTCCTCTTTTGAAGCTTCAGCTAACTCATTAAAAGCATCAACTGGTTTATTTGTTGCTTTGGGTTCAATTTTCTTCTACTTGTTATGATTTAATGGTTTTTTTTACTGTTTCTTTGTTCTGCTATTGGTTTTTCATTAATGGTAATTTTTTTGATTTGCTACTTGCGCATTCTCAAACCAATGGGGATATTGGTTTTAATTTGATTCATGAGATGATCCAGGGATTATCATTTTCAATACAGTCATCGACTTCGGTAGTGGTTGTTGGTTTTACATTTTCATTGTCCAGATAGATTTCTAGGTTGGGGCAGAGACTCTTTTTTCATTCTTCGGTATATCTAAAATATAATTGTCTTCATTATATTTGGTTTTTTTCTTTCCATATTTCAGCACACTTGGTAAGCTGTTTGTCATTGTTGTTAACATATACTTGGTTGACTGCATATTTTTATTTATTTTCTAGCATATAATTAAATGTCACGCTAGTACTCTTGCTATAACTCTACTGTAGCCATATATCAACCACGATCATAGAGGATCATGTCAAGAGAACTTTATGGCAGATAAATTAGACTGATTGAATGTGGATTATTTCGCTTTACTTCCTCTAAGCTAAGGTCAAGTTTCAATTCCATAGTACCCTCAGGTCATGAGCAACCTCAAACAATGATTGTAATATATGCTACTGCACGGGGAGCAGAGCTGGTGGTACATAATGTTATACTTTTATTTCATTTTTCTAGTGGTTGATCTGTTTCGCGATGCTACGCAAAACACTTACCATTAGGTTTTCTCAACAACGAACCCATTATACCCGTTCTAGAGCCCAGAAAATTTGTAAAAACGCTTCACTTTAGATGAAGCTTTCATTCAGAAGAATCTTCTAACTTCAGCCCGATTTAGATCCCAATATCTACCCTTTTATGAGCTTGGAGTGTGTCCCCAACCACAATATTTCTTTTTCTTGATATAGCTTCAGCTTTTCTCACATCATTAATCAACATTAAACAGTTAAATTCTTGGTAAAAATTAACCTTTAAACATCAATAAAGCAATAGAATAGGCATTACATGTAAAAAAGAGAGGTAAACAGCGATTTTCGCGGCAAGAAGCAAAAAAATCGGGCCGAGCAGGGAATTGAACCCTGGGCCACTCGCATGCTTTTGTAGTACTTAAATCAGGTGTAACCCAATCTTCGCCCAAAGCGAGTATCATACCACTAGACCACACGGCCGAATTGTTGAGTTGTTAAAACAGCTAGAACACTAACATCAAAAACCCGCAGACGTTTTTTTGAATTTTTGGATTGTTATAGAGCTGTTTTGAAGAAATGAATACTTGAAACAATTAGCAATAACTATTTGAGCTTTATTTATGGGAAATAGCGTCGTTTGAGTCATACTACGTTCTTTGTGAACGTTTGTGTCGCTTTAAAGTGATTTCAAAGAGCTCGAAATTGGTCGTTGTCTATGGGATCTGTAGGTCATATTAAAAAGATAGAATGAGTTCCAAGAGTATAGTTTACAATCAAGACATATATGTTTTTCATTTGAATACCTTGACATAGCATTTAGCAAAGAATTTAACCTTTTTAGGATGGTGTAAAATGTGTCAATTTGAAGTAACCTTCGATTTTTCGTGAGATTAAAGCACGGAACAAAAATGATGGAAGACTGAACCGAGTTGTACTTTATTTCTTAACCAATAACAAGGACTGACTCTTTATTAGATCCTTTTATCTTCTTTCCATCTAGATATTCGTCTTCAAAGTCATCCATTTGTAAGTGGTTTAGTCAAAATTACCAATCATGTTACGTAATCTCAGCCGTTTTTTCAGTCAAAGTTCGGAACCAACTGTTGAAAAGTTGGGCAACTTCTATTAAAATGATTCACAATCACTTGAATTTCCTCTAGCTAGTTTTATTCAGCTTCAAAGAATATCAATATTTCGTCACATCTTCTAAAATGGCAGTTAAAGGATTAGGTCAAATCGATCAAGAATATGATGGTGAGTAATTAGATTACAAATAAATCATGGGGGAGGAATTAGATCTGACCAAAAATCAACAGGTTCTTCATTAAAGATTGGTATTGTCCATGCTCGTTGGAACGCTTCTGTCATCAAGGCTTTAGTTGATGGTGCTATCAAAAGACTAACAGAGTTGGGTGTCAAAGAAGAAAATATCTATGTTGAAACTGTTCCAGGTTCATTCGAATTACCATTCGGTACTAAAAAGTGAGTAAAATTAACGATGCAATGAAAACAATACTAATTTATCATTAGACTTGTCCAAAAATTAGAGAAAACTGAAGGTGTTAAGTTAGATGCTATCATTCCAATCGGTACTCTTATTAAAGGTTCAACCATGCATTTCGAATATATTTGTGACTCAACTACACATGCTTTAATGAGATTAAATGAAGAATTAGATATCCCTGTTATTTATGGTGTCTTGACATGTTTGACCGATGAACAAGCTGAACAAAGAGCAGGTTTGAAACCTGGTTTACATAACCATGGTGAAGATTGGGGTGCAGCAGCAGTTGAAATGGCTACAAAATTCGTTAAATTTTAAACAAAATGCTAAATGATGTATTTGAAAGTATAAATGTGCTTGTTGTAGTTTTATATCACAACTCTGGCATTTTTAGCATTCTTCTTTCTCATTTGTCTCAGGACATCTCTTTTTCTTCTCTTGAATTCTTTAGTCCATTCACTTCTTTTATCCCAGAATGACTCTTCCCAATTTTCTAAATCAACATTTGTATTTAATTTGTTTAATTGAGTTTGTGCAACCAAGAAGGGTGAATCAAAATGAGGGAAGAACAAACCTTTAGGATTTTTAGTTCTTGGTGCTATTATTGATGCAATATTATTATCTGGAAGGACAACATCATCTGCAATTGTCTTTTTAGTTTGATCAATATCATCATCTGATTCTTCAATTAGCTTGAATGTTCCTTCTTCTTCAGTGTTGAACAATGTACGAAGGGTTTCTGTGTTACTTATCGTACCTTCAACAACTTGTGGTTCTTGAGGAGCTTCAGGTTCAGTAGCTTGGCCAAATGTTGGAATGAATTCATGGTCTTCATCTTCGTTTTCATCTATATCCATTTGATCTTCATGTTCTTGTGATGGCTCTTCTTCATCTTCATCTTCATCTTCATCTTCATCTTCATCTTCATCTTCATCATCGTCACCAAAGTCCACAATCTCTTGTTTAGCAAATTCACCTTCTTTAACATATTCAATTGGTTTATCGTTATCAAAATCATAATTTTCTTCCCCACTATCATTCAAAGCACCTTCATATTCATAATCAGAATGACCATATTCTTCATCTTCGTCTTTCACATGCATAGGTTTCTCAAAATCAAACCCCCCTAAGAGAGATGCCAAAACTTTATTAGTTCTCTCCTTCTCAGCTTCAGCTTCTTCATCATCTCCTAAGTCTTGTAATATCTGTACATCTCTTTCGTTATCGTCATTTTCAATTCTTTCAATGGTTAAAGTTTGACCATTTTGTTCAAGTCTCAATGGTTTAGCAAATCTCTCGACAATATGATCATTACCATCTTTCCAAACGTTATGGGAAAATCTGTAAACCAAATCTCTAAGTTTCTTATTCTTTTCATAACCCCATAATTTAGTTCTGTAACATTTAACAACTTTAACGTTCCCATTGAGATTAACCCTAAAAGTCATTCTCTTGATATCCTTTCTAGGAGTCTTTCTCATACGACCAGGTATTATTTCTTGTCTATCTTTGAAAGTCTTATTTATATTTTCCAACTTTTTGTAATGTTTATAACTATTCTTCAGCATCTTGGACTTTGTACGATCTTCAGGTCTATTATGATCATGTTCCCATCTTTTTTGGTAATCTTCTTTAGCAATATCTATGACAAGTTTTGAACCCTTATAGTTCACACCATTTAAGGCATTTTTAAGTCTGGTGAAATCTTTATCACTAATTTCAACGTCCAAATGCCCAAAAGATGATTCCTTCACTTCATTATGATGTAAACTGAATTTTGATGTTATCAAACCAAATTTTGATATTCTCTTCTGTATATCTTCTGGATCTTGAGCTAAAGCCTTGGAAATGTTCCCAATGAAAAGACGCCTTATCTTTGGAGTAGAGTTATCCTGATCAGTCATTTCAATATAATCTCAAGCACCAAACGATCAAAGTCAAACCTGTATCTCACTATAAAACTTCTATTTACACTATAAATTTTTTTTTCTTGAGCTCATCTGCGGGTAAAAAACTAAAAGTTCGCGAAACACGTTGCAAAACGCATTCGCGAAGGCCCATTTTTTTGAATGGTGGAAAAAGCATCGAAATCAACAACAACAGCGTCAAACTTTCCAACTGAAAACCCCATCAAACAACATCGCCAGTCGTTAGTCAAGATGGATGAGTCAGTGCTGGATGCTACGTTTTACACCAAGGATGGTCTTGCCAGAAACTTGATCATCGAAGTGCCTATCAAAGACAGTCGGGAAGTGGTCACCATTGATCTTGAACATGAATTACCAGAAGATCCAACAGATCTGTGTACTTTGCTAGAGAATGAAAGTGCTGAGTCTATTTACTGGATTTCAATCGCCTCCGTCTATGCCAATAAAGGTCTTGTTAGTGAAGCTTTTGAAATGATGACTGAAGGGTTGAAACTTTATAAAGAACTTGATACTGCTGATTTCCACACTTTCTTAGCCTGGTTACACATAAGGCAATCCAAGGTCGCTAAAACATCTGACGATCAAAGAGCTTCATTGAAAATGGCTTCAGAGTCTATTAAACTGGCATTAGCTGCTCAACCAACAAATGTTTTGAATAGAATTGCTCAAGCTGAAATTTCTTATCAATTGAAACAATATGACCAAGCTTTAGATTTTTTTGAACGTATTTTGAAAAATGATTCAAAATCAACTGCAAATGTCTTTGCATTAACAGGTAAAGCAAAAACCTTATTCCATAAGAAGAATTACAATGCAAGTTTAAAGATTTTTCAACAAGTTTTGATTTTAAATCCATTATTAAAACCTGATCCAAGAATTGGTATTGGTATGAATTTTTGGAGATTGAATGATAAAAACATGGCTACCAAATCATGGGAAAGAGCTTTAGAAATTGATCCAGAAAATCAAACTGCTAAATTATTACTCACATTATCTAAGTTTGATAGTTCGTTCAATTCTTTAACTGATGAAGATTTCATTTCAAATTATTCAGCTGCTTTAAATTCATTGAATGAATTTGTTCAAAAAGATTCAAATAACCCAGTTACTTTATTGATTTTGGCAAGTTATTACTATTCCAAGAATGATTTGGAATCAGTTTTGAAAGTTTCTCAAAAAGTTTTATCATCACCAAATGCTTCACCAGATTTATTATCAGATGCTAATTTTTGGATTGCAAGAACTCATTATGAGAATGGTGATTTCAGTAATGCACAAAAATTCTTCACTGAATCATTGAAATCAAACCCTGATAGTTTATTGGCCAAATTAGGTGTTGGGCAATCACAATTCAACAGAAGTCTCCTTGATGATGCTATTCTAACATTTGAAAGTGTTTATAAAAACAATCAAAAGATTTTGGAAATTAATTATATCTTGGGTATACTATATTCACAAGATGAAAAAAATCATGAAAAAGCTGTTCCTGTTTTAGAAAGATATATTAGATTATCCAAAGATAAAAATGAACCAGTTGCATTGAATGCATATTTGACACTTTCAAGATTACATGAAAATAAAGATAACTCACAGTCATTATCACTTTTATCAAAAGTTATTGATATTTTAAAGAAAAGAGGAGAAGATGTCCCAGTGGAAATATTAAACAATTTGGGTGTTTTCCACTTCATCAAAGGTAACCCAGAATCTGCAAATACTTTCTTTAAAAGTGCTTTTGAAGCCAATCAATCCGAGGATTTGAACATCACTTTAAATTATAACATTGCAAGAACTGAGGAAAATTCAAATACAGAAGATTCAATCTCCAAATATAATGATATTTTGGAAAAATCACCAGGTTATATCTATAGTAAGATTAGATTATTATTTTTACAAATAATAAGTTCAGATGTTAAAAATGATGAAGAGTTGGAGAAGAAACTGAATGATCTTTTGCAATCACATGTTTCAAACTTGGAAGTTCGTGCTTTTTATAGTTGGTATTTGAAAAGAACTAATAGATCAAGTAATGATAAAGGTGAAAACTTGGAAAGTAAACATAACAAGGAAACTTTGGTCAAATATGATTCACATGATACTTATGCTTTGATCTCATTAGGTAATTTGTATTGTGCAATTGCCAGAGAAATCAAAGGTAAAACTCCACAAGATATTGAAAAGAAAAACCAATCATATGTTAGAGGTGCTCAATTGTTTCAAAAAGTTTTATCAATTGATCCAAATAACGTTTTCGCTGCCCAAGGTATTGCCATTATATTTGTGGAAAATAAACATTCAAATATTGCATTAGAAACTTTTAGAAAGATTAGAGATGCTATTGATGATGTTTCAGTCTATATCAATCTTGGTCATTGTTTAATCGAAGTTGGTCAGTATTCGAAAGCCATTGAAAGTTATGAAATTGCATTGAGAAGATATGGTGATGATACAAAAGATTCAAGATATTTAACATTAGTTGGTAGAGCCTGGTTTGCTAGAGCTAGTGCAGAAAAATCATTGGAAAGTTTTTTGAAATCTTTAGAATATTCCATTAAAGCTTTAGATGTTGCTCAAAATACCAATTTGAAAAAATTGATACCTTCTTTGAAATATAATGTTGCGTTTGTTCAATTCAATATTGCTCAATTCATTCAAAAGCAAAATATTGCTAAAAGAACAGTTGATGATATTAATAAGGCTTTAGAAGGGTTGAAAGAAGCTATTGATACTTTGAACGATTTAGCTAATGATAAATATCCACCATATCCTGCAGAAATCTTGAAACAAAGAGCTAGTATGGGTACAAACACATTGATTAATCAATTGGAAAGAGCCATCAAGGAACAAAAAGAGTATGAAATTAAATTTGAACATAGGTTGAAAGAAGCTCAAGAATCTAGAGAAAAAGAGAGACAAAAGGCTGAATTGGAAGAACAAAGAAGAAAAGAAGAAGAAGCTAAAAAAGAGGCTCAATATAGAGAAGAATATTTGAAATTACAAGAACAAGCCAAAGAATGGGAAAGAGAACGTGAAGCTTTCGTTGAACCTTCATTTGATGAACAAGATGGTAAAAAACCAAGAAAGGGTAAAAAAACCAAGAATGCAATCAATACAGATGATGAATTAAGTGGTGATGATGAAAAACCTGTTAAAAAGACTAAAAAATCAACAGGTAAAAGATCAAAGAGAAAGAAGGATGAAAATGCAACCAATGGTAATGTTGAAGGTGGTGATCCAGAACCTAAAAAGAGAAAATTAACATCCAAGAAGTATTTATCTGCTGATATTATTGAAGATAGTGATGAAGATTTAGAAGATTTTGATGAATCGAAATTAGGCGGTGATGATGAAGAAGGTGATGCTCTTGAAAAGGCTGAAGCTCAAATAGATGCTGCGGGTGATAATGACGATGAAGGCCATAGTGGTGCTGAAGAAGAACCAAAAGATGGTGGTGCAGGAGGTGAAGATGATGATGAAGACGATGGTTTGTTTTGAAAGAAATTGATTATTGAAAAGAAAAAAGATGTAATATAAAACTAGAATATAAGTGTTCAAAGAATTCATTAATAAGTAGTTGTTGTATATTTTTACGACTCATTATGTAACCATTTCCTTAGGTTCTTGTGACTTTCATGTGATGTTTTGTAAACTGTGGTGAATGTTAGTATATCTCAGTGATAAGTTTCTTTGACAAAGACTCACGTTTCTTTTCAAATTCGTCAAGCGTGTATAGGAATGAACTTTCTTGTTTAATACCTCTCAAGCTTTGTGCATGGTTATTTATCTCTTCGGCTCTTTCTTTGAGCATCTATAGTGCAAATCGTTAGTGACACTAGTTTCACAAAGGGGATTAAATCCATTACTCACCTGCTGAACAACATCAACTAGTTCCTTATCAGTGAACAATTCACCCCATTTCTGTACCAAGGCATAATAATGTTGGGATATTGAATGAACATCGAGACTTGTGCTGCTTGTCTTTATGGCATTGATGACTTTTGTATTGATTGCTTCTGGTTGGATCAGTTCTATGAATGCGGTTGATGATTCTTCAGAAGTCATACACACGGCCAACACTTCAGCAATCCACATAGGCAATTCTAGTTTTGTATCTTTGGCGATCTTGATAGTATTGTTAGTCTTTCTTGTCTTTTGCAAATACAAAGCTGGTTTCACGTACGTTTTTACCTGGGTTTCCTTCCAAGTAACCCAGTCCTTTGACATCAATATTGAATTTACATGGTATTTTCTGGGTCTTGTTAATACATTGAACCTTCAAACAAAACAATTAGGCTACTCACCTGACCATGACTTATTATATCATCCAAATCATAGTACGACATCTTTGGACTCTCCTGTGTTTATGTTTTGTTTCCGTTCATGGATCAAGTTGAAAAGTTGTAGTAACGCGTCGCGAAGGTTAAATGAAATGTTTCGCGAATTTCGTCTTTCATCGCCAATACGACGACGAGCAGGTTGTCAGGGAAACTCTAATGTAAAATTGTATGGAGATGAAAGCCTAATTGAAGGGCTTAGAGAGAACCAGAGAAATTCTCGAGGGAAAGCTATTGTTAAGGCTGGATTGCTGCCTCTGCACTGTCTGCGATGCCCATCCCATGGCCTAATCAGTTGCTATCTAAGATCTAGAGCCACCAATTTCACCTCTTGTTCCTGAATTTCGCAGTGGACGGATCAACAATATCTCGTTTTGGGCTTCGATGGGGGTTTTTTATAAAAGAAGACGCATTTATCTTTCCTCTTCATTACAACTAGGTGGTACTCAAGTTCATATATTTAAGATGAAGTCCCAACTCTCTAGCTTCTTCAAGACATTCGACGTCAAGTTCCCTATTGTCCAGTCTCCAATGGCTGGTGCAAGTACTGTTGAGCTGGCTGCTATAATCACAAATGCTGGTGGGTTGGGTTCAATCCCATTAGGCTCTGCAAGTGAGAACCCTCAAGTCATTGAGAATCAAGTATTGAAATTCCAATCATTAGTCCAAGATGAGAAACTGAAAAGAAATATGAATCTTAATTTCTTCACGCACGAGCCACCCAGATTGGACCAAGATGTTGTTCATCAAGAATGGCTTAAAAAGTTTCATGGATATTATAAAAAGGAAGGAATTGAAATTAGTCCAAAAGCTGAGAGTCTTACTTGTCCATATCCAACTTTCAAGTCAATTGATAGCGCAGACCACCAAACTATTCAGACCTTGATAAGATTGAAGCCTAAAGTTGTTAGTTTCCATTTTGGTTTACCAAACTTGAAAGTTCTAAAGACTTTACAAGATGCAGGAATCAAAGTTTTCATAAGTGCTACGAGCCTTCAAGAATTTCTTGAAATCTCTGAAGCTGGTGCCGATGGTGTTGTACTACAAGGATGGGAAGCTGGTGGACATAGAGGGAACTTTGTTCCAAATGACATTGAGGATGAACAATTAACCACTGAAGAGCTTGTTGAAAAAGTGGTTGATTTTATCGACACGAATCATCAAAGATTTGCATCTGGTGATAAGGCTCCATTTATCGTTGCTGCTGGTGGATTATATGATGGTGAAACTATTGCAACAGTATTGAACTATGGGATCGCAGCAGTGCAATTAGGAACAATATGGCTACCAACAAAGCAGGCAACTATTTCACATGAGCATAGAAACTTGTTTTTTGTGAATCCAGCCAGAGAAACCATAATGAGTCCAGCCATATCTGGTAGAAATTTAAGAACTATAGAATCTGATTATTTGAAAGGGTTAAAGAAGAACTCACCTCTTTCTACCATTCCTGACTATCCCTTACCATATTCAATTTTCAAACAATTAGCAGCAGATGCCAAAAGTGCAGGTGTTGGACACTCTTATAGTGCCTTTTTGGCTGGTTCAAATTTCCACCAATCTAAAAGAGATACAGACGACGCAGCTGAAGTCTTTGAACAGATCCTTGAAGAGCTGGACTCTCGTGGATACCATTTCAAGAGATACATCTAAACATATATCGACTATTTAATATTATAATACTAGATTCATTTCCAAATAAATCCAAATTTTCAGTAGTTTTGAAAAAGTTTATATAGTAGTGCCCGGTACCGAATTTTCTCGCTTTTTTGTTTTTGTTTTGATTTTCGTTTTTTTTTAAATGTTTGATTTTGCACTTTTATGAGAAAAACGTAAACAATAGTGCTGTTCACGAGACAAGAGTCATATCCATTGGGTTCAGGAAAGTTTGCTGCTGTTAGTTGGTGCTGCTATCGATATTTGTCACAAGTTCCATCAAATCCACCTGAGGTCTTCCATAGTTGCTGTGCTGGTCTTGTTTATAATACATCCCCTTCTTTCGCGTTTGATTAAAGACGTATCTACTTCATCAATTGAACTCAACCAAGGCCTCTATAAAGGACATATCATGTCATGTCTTACCCAATAAATAAGTTCAATAGTCCACCAAACACAACAAACTCATCAAGACCAAAAGAAATCCTTTCTCATATTCCAAGCTCAGATCAATTTAAACAAAAAATCTTGTCACAAAATAAAGCCCTAGCAAAGAAAAACTCAATTCTAATGACAAAAGTTGCAGATTTAGAAATCAAGATATCAGATCTTATACAGCAAAATATTGAGCTTAGAGCAATCAATGCCAAAAGTGAAGATCAAAAGAGAAAATGGCTAGAAGACAAATTAAACATTATTGAAAATGGTGTCAGTCAAAGATTTGAGGAAATGTTTCAAATGTTTGCCACCATAAGATCAAATGAAGGTTTAGCTTCTTCCTCAGTGAATGTGAACAATGTTATTCAAAATGTTGCGCTTGAAAATTCATCTGATAAGACCGTGTCGTTCCATGATGTGAAAAGTCCAGTAAAGAAAAATATATCTGAAAGAAGACGGAAAAGTGCAAGAAGGCAATCAATGTATATTGCACCCCCACCTTCACCCCCACAGGACCATTTCAATGATGAAGCTAATGAAGAAGATTTTGAAAGAGTACAAATTCCTGATGATTTTAATACACCAAGTGTTTTCCAAGATGAACAAAATTATGAAGAAGTGCAAGAATCTAATGAACCTCAAATCAATGATGCTTTCATAGCAGAGGAAGATGCTGAGACAGAGGAACCAGAACTCAAGGAGCACGATGAAGCTGAACATGCTGCCACGTTATCTCCAATCAAATTCTCTTCGCCAAAGATGCCAGAATATCATTATCCAAAATTCTCAGTATACACTGAAACTGAAGATGATAATGAAGCTCCAAATAAAGAGGAAATTGATTTAAAGATACAAAAATTAGCAGCTGGGTCTGTAAAGAGTGGTCAAACATCAGAAAAGGAAAAACAAGAAAATGAAGAAGCAAAAGATGAATTAGAAATGATTGATTTCACTGATTTTAATGAGAAAACAAAGAACCTACTATTTCAAGATAATGACAAGATCAAACATACCAAATCAAAAAAGCAAAAGCAAAAATCATCAAAAGATGAAACTATGCCAGAACCAATTTCTTCAGATATGTTATCAACACGTAAGTCAAGAACAAGAGGTAAAGCAGTGAATTATGCAGAGCCATCATTAAGAAAAAAGATGAGACGTGAGTCTGAACAATTGACAGATGCTGTTATTGATAAAGATTTTGTGGTCAAGACCGAGTCTATTTCTCAACCTCAAACAATGAAGAAAGATTCAATTGATCAAGATTTATTAAAAGCCTCAAGAGATTCTCCTATTAAAATTAATGTACAACAACAAAGTTCTCCAATCAAGCCTGTTGAAATTGCTAAGGATCCTTCACCGGTTAAAGAACAAACAAAACCTAAACCAACACCTCTGATTGAACAAGATAATCAAAATATCACAAAGAGAAGGAAACCATTAAGTACATTAAGTCAAAACAAAGTACAGAAAAAGGATTCAAAACCTTTCAAGAAAATGCAACTGGATATAGATGCTGCCGAACTATCTGTCTTTGATTTAGTTGATGAATGTGAAGTTGGTGTTCCAAAAACTTTGAAAAATGCACCAGAAGTTAGTATAAAGAAGAGCTCGAGAAAATCAACTGGTAGCAGGCGTAATAGTATGCTGTTATGAAATTGTATAATAGCTATTTGATTAAAGTGTATTAGTGTTGATTAGTTACACGTAGCCTACAGGGTAAAAGAACTTCTAAACAAAAATTTATTATACGAATTAAAAGAGAAATCATCATTTCAGCAACATCAAGAAGCTGGCCATCCTTATGTTTTCAAACACTCATTTTCATTGCAATTTTTGGGTGTGATTTATAGTCAACTATTTCAAAGTCTTCATAAGTAAAATCATCAATATCTTTAACATCTCTCTTGATGACTAATTTAGGAAATTGATAAGGTTCTCTAGTAATTTGTTCTTTTAATGCATCAATATGATCTTTATAAACATGTGCATCACCTAAAGTATGTATGAATTCACCACAATCCATATCAACAACTTTTGCAATCATTTTAGTCAATAAAGCATAAGAAGCAATGTTGAAAGGGACACCAAGACCCATATCACAACTTCTTTGATATAATAAACATGATAATTGTGGTTTACCTTCTTTAGGGAAATTAACATAAAATTGTGAAAACACATGACAAGGTGGTAATGCCATTTTAGGGAAATCAGGTGGATTCCATGCAGACATGATTATACGACGATCATAAGGATTAGTTTTCAACTTGTGAATAACTTCAGCTAATTGATCAACACCTTGTCCAGTGTAATCAGCATCACAGTCTTTATATTCAGCACCAAAATGTCTCCATTGGAATCCATAAACTGGACCTAAATCACCTTCACGTCTATCAGTTAATCCTAATTTATCAAGAAATTCACGACTACCATTACCTTCCCAAATTTTGACACCTTTTTCACTCAATTTTTTACCATCTGTACAACCTTGAATAAACCATAATAGTTCCAAAATAATACCTTTAGTGAAAACTTTTTTCGTTGTTAATAATGGGAAAGTATCATCTTTCAAACTAAATCTAAGTTGTGGTGGTGCAAATAAACTTAAAGTACCTGTACCTGTTCTATCTGGACGATGTTCACCTTCATTTATGATACGTTCACAAAGGTCTAGATATCCCTTTTCTTCTGGGTTGGTTGAAACTTTCTGTTTCTTGTCCTCTTGAGTCATTATGTGTGTCAATAGTCTCTTAACAGCGAATAATGGTTCAAGAAATGAAATGTAAATAAATAAATAAATTTTGAAAAGTCTCAAGACGCGTCGTGACTCGTGAATTTTCGCGACTGCCCTCGTCTTTCAGTCCAGTCACGTGATGTATTGCGAGGTACTGTGTTTTTGGACAGAACAACGCAATAATCATCAACATTAGCACTCTTTTATTCAAATATAAATTGTGAATTACAGAAGGATATTTGGTTGGTCTTTCAGTTAGTAATGGGTAATTTAACAGATGCTTTCAGCCAGGTTGTCGAAAAGCTAGAGAAAGAGAAGGGAATTGTACCTTCACCTCATGCTTCTTCACCTTTAGTTTCAGACACATTCGTTAAAGAATCAGTGGATTTGGTAAGTGACATTATATCCTTAGAGTCTTGAGTCTTTTTAAACTAATTTCAGTATAGTTCATCCATATCAAGGAACTACGAAAGTTTTTACAGTCCATTAGATCCAGTTATCTTCTTTCAGATTCAAGTAAATATAACCAAAAGGCATCATCTGAAAATTTATCAGAATCAGAAAGAGATGAAATAGATACACAATCAAGAATCGAATTGAAAAAATATGATGAGAGATTGAAATACCTTGAGAAATATGAAAAGAAGAGATCAAGCTCCAAACAATATTCAATCTTCAATAAATCACAATCATCAGCAATCAATAAACACAGAGAAGGTATACTATTATCATTGAATTATGAATTGAGAGATACTTCGAAAATGTTATTAGACATGCAAGAGACAAGATTATCTAGAAAGCGTGATATTGAGCTTGGTGATTTTGATAGTAAGATATCGGCAGTCAATGTTGAGTCATTGAACTACAACATGATTCCAGAATCATTAGATAAAAACCATTCAGATCCATTTGCGGAATTATCAAGTGAACAATTACAATTGCTACAAAGTGAAAATAGTGAAATCTTGGATGCAAAATTGGAGGATCTAGCAAAAGTGGAACAAATATCAAGAAGTGTTATTGAAATTGCCCAACTGGAATCTCAACTAGCTGCCCATTTAACTGTTCAATCTGAAAATATCAATAATTTGGTGAATGAACATGACCTAACAGAAGTTGATATTGTGGAAGGTAATAAGATTTTGAAAAAAGCTAAAAGTAAAGGAAACTATGCTTCAAAGATTGTCATGTTAACGGCTTTCCTCTTGGGTATGATCATACTGCTTTATGATACAATTTCATGATGAATTACATTAGATTTGGAAAAATAATTTGTACAAATGTCATTTCTATTTCCTATGTATATTGTTCTAGTATTTCTCCACTATACCAGCACCGATAGTTGAACCGTCTTTTCTTAAAATAACTCTTCCTAACTGTTTATTATCCTTAAATAATTGTAGAGGTAAATTTCTACCTAGTAGCTCAATTTCCACCATTGCTGATTGATGGGAACCCAAATGTTTTGGTTTCTTTTTAGAAACTTGTCCAGTAACTTTATCCAGTAGAGAAATAATTTTGGTGATTTTAGCAGGTTGTTGGACATTACCTCTGAATAAGACAAACTGAGTTCCTAAAAGTAAAGGTCTTTTCAAATCAAACAACACTAATCTACTTTCAAATTTTGAAACTGATGGAATCTCTGTAGTAACAATTGAAATTATATCACCAACTTGAACTTCTTCAATTTGAACATCCTTTATCTTCAAAGTGACATTATCACCAGCAATACCAACTGGGACTCTAGCGTTATTAACAGATACTGAGTCGACAACACCGGCTTGATTTGACGGAGCAAACAAAACAGTTTCACCAGCTTGAATTGTGCCAGTGTCTATTCTTCCTGTAAACTCTGAACTTGACCCAATATCAGCAATTGACATGACAAATGGTTTTGTAAAATCTCTATTGAATTTCTCAGATTTCTCTAAAGCACCCAATACAGAATCACCATTATACCATTTCAATTTTCTTTGATCTTCAGGAGTTGAAGGTTTTGAAGCAACATTTAAACCAGTCAATCCAGAACATGGAACAAATTGGATTTGATCTTCATTATATCCAGTAATTTTCAGGAATTCAGTCAATTGATCTCTGATTTCTTCAAAACGATCTTCTGACCAATCATTGTTATCCATTTTATTCACAGCAACAACAATTTTATTAATCCCCAAACTTCTAGCCAAAATTGTATGTTCTTTAGTTTGACCATCCAAATTAAATCCAGATTCAAAAGCATCAGTCGAAGAATCGACAACCAAAACGGCAATATCAGCTTGACTGACACCAGTAATCATATTTGGAACAAAATCTCTATGACCTGGAGCATCAACAATAGTGAAATAACCATTCTCAGTTTCAAACTCTGAAGTACAAATATCAATAGTAACACCACGATTTCTTTCCTCCTCAGTTTGATCCATAACCCAAGCTAAGGAAAATGAACCCTTACCAGCTTTCTCTGCTTCTCTTTTCAATTTTGTGTAAGTGTTCTTATCAACAATGTTGTTTTCTAATAATAAACGACCTGTCAAGGTTGATTTCCCTGCATCAACATGACCAATAACGACAAAACTCGTATGAGGTTTTACTTGTCTTTTGGATAATTCAGCATCTAGATCAATTTTGAATTTAGGTTTTGTAGCTTGTTTTGGAGTAATTTTCAAATTTGAAACATCTTTAGCTAATGCAGCTTCTTCATCTTTCTTTTTTATATTATCTTCAAATGCTTGCTTTTGAGCATCTAATATAACATCATCAGGACTTGGTTTTGAAAAATTTGATTTGACCTTTTTAGCTATTTGAGAATTAGCACGAGGAACGAAAACTGAAGTTAAATCATATTCATCTAATTTTCTTTTATATCCACTTGATAATTTGTTCATTGGGTGTAAGAATAGAGGGGTTAGTTGAGAATCTGAAGTTGAGGTACGGAATGGTTGGTGTTGTTGGAAATCAACATCAAGGTATATAATTGATGGTGCTTCTTCATCCTTTTCTTGTTTAATCTTATCCTTTTTTGGTTCTTCTGTGAGTGGAGGTGTGGGTATCTCTTTTTCTGCTTGTGTGGGTTTTGAATTCCTAAGACTGGGTAGTGGTTTTTTCCCAAGTCTAGATTTATTTAATGATGATAGTGTAGATAATCTTGAAGATGACGAGGATGCAGATGATGGTGTTGATGGTGGGTTTGATGAAGATTGATCAGATTTTGATTTCAGCCTATCTAAAATCGATACAGAAGAAGTTTTATTCATCTCACTTTCTTTCTGAGCTTCTAAAGCTTTCTTCTCGGCTCTTGCTTTTGCTAAGGCTGCAATTTTGGACATTCCTTTCCCTTTATTCCATATTAGTTTCCAATTCTCAAAAGTAAGAAAAAACTCTTTAAAACCATTGAACCAAAATTGAATGGTTTTTTTTTCAAGTCATTTGAGTAGTTAAAGAAGAAAACTAAGTTCTATGGAAGAAATGATAAACCCCAATTTTGAACAAATAGTAGTTATTAAAGAAAATTTGATGGATTTTGTATACATACCTTCAGGTTTTGGTTTAGGAGCTGTTTGAATCTTTTTGAAATTTTCTGAGCACAAAATGTTAGTCATTTCAATACAATTTTAGTTTGAATTTTACTCACTTTTCAGTTCTTTCAAGGTTGGTTCCACTTCAAGGTAATTGAACCATAATGCATCTTTTAAATCTTTGTCAGTGAATCCTGTGTAATCTTTCATTGCCGTTTTGATTTCAGGCAGTAGAGCATCTATTTTCTCTTCATCTTCTGGAGTCATTTCTTGAAACTGGTTAGTATTTTCTCATTTCGCATCGTAATCCTGTTAAACTCACCTTCATCATCATAATAGTCATCGTTGGCGTAATCTTCCAAGTCTATAGCAATTGTTAGTTCTCTATGCTCCACTTCAGCAGAAAAACCATCCAACTCACCATCTTCATCGAATCTGTTAGACATTTTGCTATTGAGGACCTGTCTTTTCCCTAACTCTCTAAATCTTGTACTTAAAACTCTCTTTAAATACATTTTGTTATGTTCTTCACCAAAAACATCTCAGCTCAAAACAGAAAACTGAATTCGCGAACTTTACCCTATCGGTTTGGCAGACGGGTTTTCTGCCTAGCCCTCTGCCTAGCGCACCCAAGAGATCTCTGCCTAGAGTTCTGCCTGGCTCAAAAGAATCCAAAGAGCAACGTTCTGCCTGGGCTTGAGATTCTCAAATTTGACGTCAACGCAGTAATCAAGTGTAAACATTGAAACTTTTCACTTTTGATCAATTACCGCCAATTGAAGGTTCAAAGAGGCAACTAGAAGAGTAGTGCTACTGAGGTGATTGAGATATAAGCTGGATTCTAGAAGGACAATGGAGCAAGATGATTTTATGGTTGCAGAGGATAGGTTCGAAAAGACATTAATGAAGGCTGATTATGTGTCATTATTGAGAATACCGCCTCCAAAGTGTGAAGGAGACACTGTTACTGATATAAGTCAATGGGATCTGAGTGATGTTGTTTGGTTTGGTAAATTGAAATTCACAGAGACTGAATTCATTATGAACATGGATCCTCATAATCTTGAAGAGAGACAAATAATCCAAGGTAATGTTTCGTTAATCAATTATGATAGTGAAGATATTTTTGGTAACATACCCTATAGAGTTGATGGAAATAATGTCAAAGTGGTGAGTATACATCCAATGGGTGTTGTAATGATCAAAGACTAACAATTTACAAAAGACTAGCTCTAAAACTACTTATAGTGTGATATTAGAGTATCAAGATAAGAAAATAGGGTTCGGATTGGTTTTCAAAGAACCAATGAAGGCTGATGAATTCAATATTGCGTTGCAAAAGTTTAGAAAGTATGTTATTTTTTGCTCATTGTTTGGAATTATTTCACTAACAAGATTTTAGGGATGCTAAAGCTGCATTGAAAACACATGATGATTTCGTGAATGATCTGGAGCAAGGTGTTCAAAGTTTGAAATTGGATCAAGAAAGTCCCTCAGAAGTTAAGACAGAAGAATTTTTGCCTGAGAATGACATCAAAAAGGTTGCCGAACCTGATACAGAAGAAAGTGATTTGGAATTTGGTGATTTTGTCACTAGTGAAACTTGAGGATTGAACTAGAAAAAATAATCAGGTTCAAAAAACTTCTAAGAAAGAACTATAGAAAGCACTCTATCTTTCAGATAGCAAATGGAGGATCATAATCAGAAAAAAGGATTGGAAAGTCTGCAGAATAACAGCCTTCACCCAAAGTGAAGTCTGATGTTTCAAAAAAAGAAAAAGATGAGCAAAACAGGATATTCACACTCAAAACTCCACTCAATTCCAATAGAAGTTTATTCACTTCATGTTCATACTCATATACATATTCAAGGGATTCCCCTTGATAATAACCACGATAATATACATTTTTAATATCCTTACCTATTTACATATATAGTTTTTATCTTTGCAGGACTAAGGCCCTTATTCATCTCTATACCAATATTGTTGTCTCTTCTTTCTATCTAATCTTGCTTGTGCTTTACCTTTTGACCAACCTTGTTTAATTTGAGCTAATCTATCATCCATATCTTGTTTTCTCTCCTTTGACACATCGGAGACTAAACTGATTGTGAATGGCGAAACGTTGAATTTTTCAGCAAGTACTTTTTTGGTATATGTATAAGGTTCTGAAGCTCTTAATCTTTGAATTTCTTCGACATCTTTTGGAGATAAATGATATTTTTTTTCACTTGGTGTTGATAATGGTGGTGCATTATTTATATCAATTTGCTCACCACTTAGGTTTAAGCCCTTGCGAGGATCATCATTTGGTAAGAAGAGATCAGGAATTTCTGAAGTTGATGATGGTGCAGATGGTGGTGGATGATGAATTAAACCTTTTGGTTGTTTTAATTTTGGTTTATAAGATGATGTTTTTTTGTTGTATAGATTTGGAATTTCTTTATATCTTGGAATATTTGTGAATGAACGAACAAATTTCTTTGTCGCTATGCTCTTTGCAGTTATATTAAGCATCTTTGGAAGTTGGAGTCTGTTAAATATTGAGCTTTTGAAGCTTTTGTACTGTGGAATTTTTCACTTTTGATCAACTGCTCGATCGCGAAAGAAAAAAACCAAATTGCGGGTAAACTTCGTGAATTTTTGGTGATGGAGTGCGCTAACCAGATGTCTATAATGGATTTGAACAATTTTAGTGTCAAAAGAATCAGATTGAAACGTAGAAAAGACGTATTGATCTTGTTGAAATATGAGTGAATTGAGAAATAGAAAGAATAAGAAGGAGTCTTCATCAACTGAAGAGAAAAAACCATTTCAAAATGATGATAATAGCATAAGTTTTAGTTTCTTTGACATTATACGAATGATTTCAGGTCTTTTATTGTTGAACCTGTTTTTGTCTTACTGGTTCACTGGTACATTCACATATAACTACAGTGGGAAACTGATAGATCCACATTATTTGTACTTCCAGGCTTTTGGATCATATGTGAATTTGACAGACTCTGAATTGGCAAAATATGATGGATCCATTGAAGGATTACCAATTTATATTGGAGTTAATGGAACTGTTTTCGATGTTTCTAGTAAGAAAGAAATATATGGTCCTGATGGGTCTTATTACTATTTGAGTGGCAAAGATTGTGCAAGAGCATATGCTACAAATTGTTTAAATCAACAGACATATGACATTAGAGATCTTGAACCTGAAGAGATTAGAAGATTGAAAGGGTGGCATGAATTTTTCGAAACCAAATACTTCAAAGTTGGTGTGGTAAATCATGAACCATTGACTGGGCCTACCCCAGATAGAGAAGATTGTCGTGGTAGAGGCCATTGAAAGAAACCAATATAAATTTGCATGCAAAAAAAATTCATTATCTATATACATCTATCATTAATTAAGCATAACATTATCTATGAGTCTAACTGTAAGGCCATTTTCTGTAACATAAACTGCAGTGCTAATAACAGCACCTTTACCAGGGACCACTACGTCCAATTCTTGTAGTTCTTCTTTATCAGCAACTGAAACATAATCAATCTTGAATAATGGATCTTTTAATCCATCTGTAACTTGACGAATGATTTCACCTCTCTCTACTGGTGCCTTTTTATCATTATAATAATGGACACCAGCTTGTAATGCTTTATAAATCATTGAACTTTTGGATCTAGTATCTTGAGAAAGATACGTGTTTCTTGAACTTAGTGCTAATCCAGTATCTTCTCTAATAATAGGCATGACAACAATTTCCACAGGTAATAACAAATCTTTAACCATTCTTTTCAAAACAATAGTTTGTTGAATATCTTTTTGGCCAAAATATGCAAAATCAGGTTGAACAGCATTAAACAATTTTGTAACAACAGTTGCAACACCACGAAAGAAATTTGGACGAGTCTTACCTTCTAATTGTTCACTAACTCCCAATACTGAAACGAAAGCACCTTTTTGCTTTGTTGTGTCTAGATCGATACCTGATGGATACATCTCGGTCACAGTTGGAGCAAAGATTACATCAACTTTTCTACCTTCAATTTCCACACTTGATAAAATTGAGTAATCTTGATCAAAAGTTCTAGGATAAGAATCTAAATCTTCACCAGGAGCGAACTGTGAAGGGTTAACAAATATGGAAACAACTGTTCTATCATTTCTTCTTAAACTTTCAGAGACTGGGTTCAAAGAGTTAGTAAAAGACTAAATATAATGGATTTGAACATACCTAAAGAGAGATGACCTTGATGCAAAGCTCCCATAGTTGGTATAAACCCAACAGATCCACCAGCGATTTGTCTCTTCCATTCTCTCAGCTCCTTAACTGTTCTAATAACGACTATATCACTCATTTTTGGGTATAGTTTTATGGTTTGAAAGGTGTTAAGATTTCTGAATCATTTCGAGATCATTGTCTAAATTTTTTTTTTTGCCCAACAGACGTTTTTTTGACGTTTTCCTCGATGACGAAGGATAATCAGTGTTGTTTAACGACGAATTGTGACAAATTTTGTTAACAAAGAGGTAGTGGAAAGCAGTTCATTCGAAAGGTCTAATCTTCAGGATGGCATGGTTAGAGTATCATGGGATTACCTTCAATTTTGAGATCAGGATCTTTGATTATTAGAGTCTTACAATATTCGAGCAAATAACATTAATTTAAACTACTTGAGACCAACTCAACACATTCGATAGAACTTCGTTATAATTAGCTATAAATAATTTGTGTATATCAAGAAAGACAGGTAACACGATCATCTCAATTGATCTATTTACTGCCGTATTTAGCAATCAATTCATCGACAAGTTCAATGTATCTAGTCAAAAGTTAGTATCACATCTTTCATCACACGGGTTTATTACACTTACTTGGCTTCAGCATCAGCTTGAGAGGTACCTTTCAATTCATTCCAAGAATCCCATTTATAACGATCCTTCAAGGCAAAGATACCTGGTCTGTCAGTGTTGACATCACCAACGGTGGCTTGTTTGTATAAACCGTATAATTTCAATAATTCATCGTCTGATGGTTTTGAGGATAAGTTGTTAACAGCTTTGGCCTTTGATTTGTTGTTAGTATCTAATTGACACGAAACACGATCTTTTGATGGCGATTCATCTCCACAATTTGGATCTTTTAAGGAATCAAACAGATTCCGTATTTTTTATGAAGCAGCCATTGAATATTGAGGATATGATAGTCACTTACTTTGGTTTCGAATAATTCGGATGGCATTTTGGTTAATTTGATTTGATTCAATTCTGGCTGGTTAAAACTTGTTCTTTTCGTTTCTTGTTGGCCAAAAAAATGACTTTTGCCCTTTTTCAACGGCTTTATACGTTCGCGAATTTGGTTTTGGTTGGGTTGGGTTTCCGGGTAAACGATGAGATGAGCTGATGAATTAAAGGCATTTTAAACGGGTTCAACAATGGAATATTGTTTGATTAGTTAGTTGTTGATAGTGTTGGTGAGTGTATATTTCATAAGTAGTTTGATTTTCATCTTTTCTTTTGGTTTATTTCAATATTCTCAGCCCATCAACCTACAATCTTAACATTAAATAGTAAAGCAATATATCAATTCAATACTAGCTGGTCTTCTTTAACCCAGCTTCTTTACTAGTACCCCAGTTTCTACTCAGCACTTCACAAGCCATGTAGAATGGAATGATAAAAGTAGGTAGATAGACACCAATCAAGCTAATGATATCACCATAATTCAAACCATTAGCTTCACCTTCAACCCAAATAGTAACCAGGCAACAAACAGTAGTTATACTAGCTTCCAAGCCATATACAACCATATATGGGTAAACTTTAATGGTTCCTATATAGTTAGCTTTCTGTCATTTAAAAAAATCTCAACAATAATACTCACTTTTGAATAGTGCAGCTGCACCAATAAAGAAAAAAGGCAATTGTAACACCAATTCGATCCATCCGAAGACTGTTAACCAACTAGGTGGATTTGCCAATAAGAAATCTTTATTTTGTCCAATATGGAACTCTAATAATGACTTTTGAACATTTAATTGGTATTCTTTAGGGATAGCCAATGCTGAATCTATCAACACGGTGATTGGGATGTGTAGTAGGAAATAAAGGAAATAGAACGTGTCTGTTTTGGTTTTCCCATTAAACAAAGGCTCTTTACTGTATACTTTTAGCCCACCCATTATAATTATTTCAACAAAACAACACTAAAATATAAGAAAACCAGCTGATCTTTGCTTTCTTTTGCCTTTGTTTATGCAAAATTTTGTGATGGGTATTAAATTTTTTTTTCGCGTTATTTTTTTTTTTTGTTTTAAACCTGCAAAAGTTGACAGATCCAAAAACTTTTGACCTTATTCAGAACTGATTTCAATTTCTTTTCAAAGCTTCATGTTGAGAAATTTGGTATTGAGAAGATCAACTCGTTTAAGCAGACATACCAGACCTAGTTATCAATTCATTTCCCGTATTTCAAACCCATTCCATCCAAGAAACCCGTCAAGTCGCACTTTTTCAATAATGTCACAGCACTTATCAGAACAACCACCAGCTAAAATCCAAAAGATTGCAAATGAAACCTTGAACAAAGACGATCCTAATTTTAAACCAATCGTTTGGATTGATTGTGAAGTGAGTAAACCACCATTGTTTCAATTGAATATGATTTTCTAACAATTCACTCTCAGATGACTGGTCTTGATGTCTTTAATGATCACATCATTGAAATTTGCTGTATAATAACAGATGGGAACTTGAATATAATTGATGAAGAAGGTTATGAAAGTGTCGTACACTATGATAACTCAGTCATGGATAAAATGAACGAATGGTGTATTGAACATCATGGTGGAGTAAGTAAATATTTTATGAACCTGTGTCTTTAGTACTAACATCTATCAGAGTGGATTGACCCAAAAAGTACTAGAATCAAGCAAGACTTTAAGCCAAGTTGAAGATGAATTGTATCAATACGTTTCCAAATACACAAACCAAAGAAGTGCAGTTTTAGCTGGTAATTCAGTCCATATGGATAGAGCCTTCATGATGAGAGAGATGCCGAAAGTTTTGGAACATCTACACTATAGATTAATTGATGTCTCCACCATCACAGAGATTGGAAAACGTCATAATATGGATCTTATCTCAAAATTACCAAAGAAAAAAGAGGCACATACTGCAAGATCAGATATCTTGGAGTCAATTGCTCAGTTAAAATGGTACCAAGACCACTATTTAGTGCAGCCAGACAATAAATAATTTGAAAATAAACAGAAATCCATTTTTAACTCATAAAATCATGTAGTTTTACTAGTAATTTTGGTTCTTTACTTATAAGCTTGTGATTACGTAAGATTTCCTCTATTCAACGTTTTTTTGTTTCGGGCTGAAAAATAAACAAAAACAAGGTTCAATCAAAAATTAGGAGTAAAAAAAGCCAATCGAAAAGTTAGAAAAGGTTGAATCAAAAAATGGACAATCTTTCTTATAGAGGCCGTTCTGAGAAGTACGAGAACTCAAATATGAAGAACAACTATGATGGGATCAATTTCTCAGCTTCACCTCATAATTATAAGCCAAATGCAAACAAGAAATACAAACCAAAATTATATCATAGATTAAACTGGAAACTGATAGGAGTTGTCCTTGTGATATGGATGGCATTAGTGAATTATTACGAAAGGAGTGTTGTTAAAAGAGCTATGAATGTTTGTCAATGGACAAAATGGGAGAAATGGGTATGTATTGATGAAAATTGTTCAATTGGGACATTACTAACTATTGAATAAGAATAATGGGAATGATCCTCATAGGATAGCATTATTTGCAGATCCACAAATCATGGATAATTATTCATACCCTGGGAGACCATGGATAGTTAATTATTTCACACAAAAAGTTCTTGATAATTATCATAAAAGAAATTGGAATTATGTTCAAAATAAACTAGATCCTGACTCTACAATCTTTCTTGGTGATTTATTTGATGGTGGTAGAAATTGGGATGATGAAGATTGGTATGTTGAATATACAAGATTCAATTCAATATATTCCAAAAAAGCAAACAGAAAAACCATAATGACATTACCAGGGAATCATGATATTGGATTTGGTGAAACTGTTAATGTTACTTCATTAGAAAGATTTAAAACTTTTTTCGGTCCAACATCAAGTGTTCATGAATTAGGAAACCACACAATTGTACTATTAGATACAATCTCTCTATCAGATTATTCAAATGAAGCAGTCACAAAAGATCCAAGACAAGTTCTTGAGTCGTTGGCAGATTATAAAACTGATGAAAACCCAAGAATATTACTCACACATGTCCCACTTTATAGATTCCCAGATTCACAAAAATGTGGTCCATTAAGAGAATCCACTAAAAAATTCCCAATAATGAAAGGCTTACAATATCAAACAGTGATTGATCATGAATTATCACAGGATATTTTGTCCAAAGTTAGACCAAAATTAGTCTTTAGTGGTGATGATCATGATTATTGTCATATTACACACCCATACAAGTATCAAGGACAAGATAAAACAGCCGAGGAGATCACAGTCAAATCATGTTCAATGAATATGGGTATTAAGTATCCTGCAATCCAGCTTTTATCATTAAATAACCCTACATCATCACAACAACAAGATGAAGACGAAACATACAAAACAAACATATGCTACATGCCACAACCATTCAGAGCCATAAAAGCATATATATCATGGGCAATCATAAACACTATCTTATTTTTGGTTGTGTTTTTAGCGCCTTATCATTGGGCAATCATTACAAATAAAATCAATGCTATTGTTTCATCACAGTCGAATAAATATTCATTGCCAATTGCTGAAGTCACACAAACTTCATATACACCTACATTAACTCAAGAAAGAGATGTCTTAGGGTTTTTCATAAATGGTGGGATTGTTATTGTTTCAGTTTTGATGATTTTTGCAATTTATTTTAATGCCTTTTAAATATAATCAATGGACTTAAATGAATCCTTTCTATTGGTACTTGTTAGTAGATGCGCGGAAAATTTGCCATGTGATTTTTCAACTTACTAATCTATCAACATAACTATTCGAACTATAATCTGATCTTTTCATGATGAATTGTCTTATAACGTATGGTTTCACTGTTGCTAATTGACCTTCTTTTGTTAAGGAATTTAATAATTCAGGTTGAACAGTAAATAAATTGGCAATTTCTCTTAATAGTTGGAACTTTGTAGTCAATTCTGGGATTTTCCATTCTTCTATACTTGTTTGATAACTAATAATATCTTTCGTTACCACGATACCACCGGTTGAATTAATTTGAAACATTTTAAAATGTTCAAATAATTGATTAAATGTGAATACACCCAATTCCAATAAAATTTTCTGTAAATTACCACCATTCAAATAATGTGTCAATTGAGAATTGAATTCACTTAAGAAAGTTGATAATTGTTCACAGGCAACGGTATCAGTATCTATTAATTCACCAACTTTTGGTAAGAAATCCTTTTTCTTTTGTTTTGAAAGTGCATTTCTAACTTTATCACAGCCTAGATTTATTGTATCTCTCATTATAACATTAATTGCCAGTTCGACTCTTGATATGTAACCATTTGTTAGATTGATCATTCTATGTTTAACCTGTGGTGAGTTGTTGGCTAATGGTAACAAGATTGTTCTTATACAAGTTGAAACCAAATAAAGAATTTCACTTGAAATTTGAACATTTTGTAGATAATCAAACTCTAGATAATGATCAGTATATTTGAAGTCTTGATGATGCAATTCATTGAATGAAACTTCTAAAGCTAGATCAACATAAGATTTCCCAATTCCAATTAACAAAATTTCCAAAATTTCTAATCCATGTTCAGCCATTTTAGTTGGAGTTAATTCAATTAATCTTGATAAGGATTCCACTGTAGATTTCAATAGATTGTCTGTATGTTCTAAGTTCAGTTTTGAATATTGATCAATTTCATTTTGATGATTATGATCATTAGCTAAAGAAGGATCACTTGCTCTTTTATCTTTAAATGATTGAGATCTTTCTAAATGACTTCTCATAAAACTTTTAAATTGACCAACTCTACTTCTTCTATTCAAATTTTCATATTCATTATTAGGTTCAATAGATTTATTATTATGAAGTCTTGAACTTAATTTATTTTGGATTTTGGATTCATTTAATTGTTCATATTTTGAAGTAATTGTATAAAAAATTGATTCTAAAGTCTTCTTTTCCAGGTCAAAATATTTTGAATCAATCAAATGAGAAGTGAACAAATCTGAAAAACTTTGATCCAATATGATATTTAATTCATCCAATCTAACATCTCTTTGTAATGAATCTTGGAAAAAATTCTTTAAATTTTTGGTGAAGTTCCCAGTTGTGATATATAATGCATTTAATGTTCTAAGATATGCTAAAGTACTCGTAGCATATGAATTTTTCAACAATTGTTCAATCTTGAATTGAATTTGTTGAGCAAATATTCTTTGAACAAATACTTGTAAAACTGCAACAGGTTCTCTGAACACATCCACAATGACTCCGGTTTCATTTCGTATAACATTTTCAGTCTCTTTGAAAATTTCCAAAGTAAACAAATCAGTCAAGACATGATGATTTAAAGGATCTGATAGTTTTTCCCAGATTCCATCTTTTTCAAATCTTTCAGTTAACCCATCATCCTCTTCTGTTGAATTAGCATTTAAAAAGAAATCATGTTGATTGACAAAATTTTTAATAACTGCCACACCTCCATTAAAATCAGTTAGGATATCGGCAATATCTTTCATTTTAGTTAAATTATTAGCCTTATATTCAATATTGAACTCCTCTAATAATGAGTTTTCCATAGTTTCCGAATATTTTTGAATCAATTCATGACATTTAGCTGATCTTTCCAAATCATCACTGATTAATTTTTGAGATAATGATAATAATTGAGCCACTGTTGCGGAACATTTTCTTTTATCTTTGATTGAACCATTCATTAATGAATCCAATTCTTTAGAATAACCCGTTTGATAAAAATCATTATATATTCTCACTAATGATATAGTTGCAATTGAGCGCTCTTTAGCATTTATTGTCTTTGTGAGTGATTGACTTAATGGTGTTATTGTGGAATTAACTTTTGATATTTGATCATCAAGGTGTTTGAATTGAGAGTTCACGGATTCTGCTCTGGAAGTTAAAGATAGCACGTTTCTACTATGGTCTAGTTCATATTTAGATACCTCTTTCTCCAATTGTGATTGTCTTGATGCCGCTTCTGTACTTAGCTGGTTCAATTCTCTTAATGTTGACTCGAAGGTTCTGATAAATGGTTTGGGGTCAAGATCTGATGAAGCTTTGTTAGTTTCCAATTTGAGCATACGGACATTCTTTCATACTCACATTTCAAAGAGTTAACCTCTGTGCTCTTCAGCGAATGGTCTTTACTCAATTCCTCTATGAATTCATAAACGGTCAAGTTATCCTATAGCCAGCTGTTAGCTTTTTTGGGATCCTTTTCTCAGCTAATAAAACAAAAACACTCACCAAGAAGTTGTCTAGTGAAAGCAGCTTCCGTATCTTTGGATCCAAGTCATAGATCGAGTTCATTTTGGGGATTGTAATAGTGGTCTTGATACCTTCTTTTCCGTTGTTGTTATGGTTCAAATTGTTGTTGTTTCCATTCGAATCCACGTCAAAAGAGATCTGGGATTGGGCAGGGCCACGACCATTTTAATTAAGGGAAACGGTGATTTGAAGGGACTTCTAGAGTATATTATGAGTTAATAATCAATTAAATTATAGATTAGGTGGTAATTACTATTATTCTTTTTTTATTACGACTTATTCCCATTATTTTGAAGTATTTTAAGTCAAATTCATTCATTTCTGATTATCTAATCTCAGCTCAGTATAAGGAATTTTTCCTATGGGTCAAATTGATTTCAATCACAATTTTAAAAGAAACAGCACTTTGAAAAGATAACAAATAATTGAGATTATACGATATGAGTGACGAGCCAGTGCAATTGAACCAATCGCAAAGGGAAATCATCGAAAATCTGAAGGAAATCCTCGCAATAACTAAGAAAATGTGAGTTCTCCATCAATTTCAAAACAATCATAAAACAATAAAACTAACTAGAACCAGAGATTCGAATCTGATTAAAAGTCTGGAATTAGTACAATCCTCATCTTCAGAAGACAGCAATTCAGTTTATCAACAAGAACTTTTCAAAACAATCGAGAATCTGAACAAAGTGTTTGAAATATTTGAATTCACCTGATCAAGTGGTCAATTCAATTTTCGAGAAGTGAAAAAAAAACATACGCGTAATACTTTTCAGATAATCAACAATTTTCAACAGAATACCATAAGGAAGGAAACTAAAATGGCTGATAAAGGTGATGAACTACTTGAGAAATATCAAGACAATTTACTCAGAAGACAAAATGGTGATTCAGATGTGGATTCAGATGATGAATTATTGGAGCTGTTAGATGATGGTGAATTTGATCAATATAGAGAGCGCAGAATAGAGGAGATATCAAAACAGTGAGTATACTAAACATAAAATCCTTTCAATATTATGCTAACATTTCCTTTGTTAGGATGAAGCAAGCCCAAAAGAATGTTGAAGACGGTTATGGGAATGTTGAAACTTTGATCAATGAAGAGAGTGTATTACAAAGAACAACTACAATCAAACATGTTGTATTACATTTCTTTCACGAGAATTTTCAAAAATGTAAAGTTATGGATGATAAATTAAAAGTAAGTGCTTTCATTCAGTCTAGGTTGTTTTGAAACTAATTTGAAAATAGGTTATGGCTGAAAAACATCTCTCTACAAAATTCATTAGAGTAAATGTTGAAAACGCACCATTCTTAGTTACAAGATTAAAAATTAAAGTGTTACCAGCTGTATTAATATATATCAATGGTGTGGAGTCTAATAGATTAGTTGGATTTGATAAATTAAACTTCAATGAATCTGGAGATTTTCAAATAGAATCATTAGAGAAGTTTTTATTAGATAACGGCGCAATTCAAAGAAAGGCAACAAATTATAAAAGAATTCTCAAATCTAAGCAATATCAAGATGATGATGATGAAAGTGATCTTGATCTTTAAACACCACCGTGTATATGTCTTGTCAACATCTTTTTCAATCCATTAAACCATCTGAAATTAAACCTCTTGGGTACTCTTCTTGGAACATATTCAACATGCCAACTATCTGAGGACTCTGCAGATGGTAATAGCTGAAGAGATTTTTCTGATAAAGAATCTGTTGTGATAAATTTCAAAGATTCAATTTTTGGATGATGAATTGTATTGTGAGTGCTCTTTTGAGGCCAATGTGATCTGAAGGGAGGTGGTAATAGGTGAGGAGGCTGATTCAAATTGACATGAGGGTATAATTTCTTCAATTCGTTTAATGAACGAACGATGACTTTTTGTGGATGTCTTTGTTTTCGAGCTTGGTCTTGTTCGTATCTGACTCTTTTTGTAGGTTGTGGTTGGTATGACATTTATATTTGGGTTATGATGATTATGGATCTATTCTCCTTCTCATGATTCCATCAACCAGTTTAAATATAAACTTCATACCCATTTTCTGTTTACAAATGCTAATACTTCTGTTTGACACATAAATTAAACAGAGAAACTTATGTAAGCGAGATATTGATTATGTAATTTACCAATACTAAATTACATAATCTTAACATCCCAACACCAAGTGACTGTCTCGAAAACATTTCTAATTCCGACTCATACAAAAAACCGGAATTGCCTCTTTTTTTTTCGCCTTCGATAAAAGGAAAATTTTCAATTCAACTTTTTCACTTGAACTCTTTTGAAAAGATCATAACCGTATTTTGGTAAGAAAGAAGGTATGTTTAAAACAAGAGAATATTATCATTAGCAGAATCATGAATAACTAACATCCTCTATCAGCACTTCATTGCAGACGAGCCAAGATGCAAATTTTCGTTAAAACTTTAACAGGTAAAACCATTACCTTAGAAGTTGAATCTTCAGACACTATTGACAATGTCAAATCAAAAATCCAAGACAAAGAAGGTATTCCACCAGATCAACAACGTTTAATCTTTGCTGGTAAACAATTAGAAGATGGTAGAACTTTATCAGACTACAACATCCAAAAGGAATCAACTTTACATTTGGTCTTGAGATTAAGAGGTGGTGGTAAAAAGAGAAAGAAGAAGGTCTACACCACTCCAAAAAAAATTAAACACAAACATAAAAAAGTTAAGTTAGCTGTTTTAACTTACTACAAAGTTGACAAAGATGGTAACGTTGAACGTTTAAGAAGAGAATGTCCAGCTACTACTTGTGGTGCCGGTGTCTTCATGGCTAACCATGGTGACCGTCAATACTGTGGTAAATGTCACTTGACTTTCAAAGCTAAAAACTAAGTTGAATAAATATTTAAAATAGGGATTATATGAAGGATTAACTTCTTGTTTTGTATAGGATCTTTTTAAATGGAAAGTGTTTAATGTTTTGAAATAAGGATGTAGAGTAACAATCAGTTTGAAGCATAATTATCAGAATTGTAAGTTTGGAATCAATACTAGTTGATGGGTCACTACTTGTACTCGTCAGTTATCATGTCTACGTTGAATTTTCAATAATTAACCTAATGAAAAGGGTATTAATTTATATACATGTTCTGTCTTTTCATAAACTTGACATAAATCAACTTTTTTGAACCTTAATGACGATAAATTTAAACTGTTTTTTTTATTTGAAAGAAGTGCCATCGATTTTGATGACAACTATATGCAAATTAAACCTCCCTTATTGTATGCAAATGGAAAAAAATAATAATAATACTGTAATGAAATGTCTTGATGAACCATAATGTAATGATTCTGTGAAAAAAAAACACACAAGAAAACTGTAGTCCCTTGGTTTCTTTTTCAATGCAAATAATGATAAAATAATGATGTAACGATGATGATGCAGTGGATAAAAGTTTCAACGTTTTGTTTGTTGAATCTATGATGAATGATCTGTCTTGATGATGGCCTTCTCATTGACAATTGATGAAGTTACAATTTTTTTCAAATGTTTATTCTCCTCCATCAATTTTAATCTCAGCATCTCTGATTTTTTCAACTCCTTCATAACTTTGTCTAAATCTTTGCATTTTGTTTGATATGCATTCTTCAAAGTTTGATATGTAAGAATTGAATTATGAGAACTAATAATTTGTGATTTAATTGAAGCTATGGATTCATAAACTTGAGATTGATCTAATTGTGACTTAGACTCTAGTAATGGTGAGTTTAGAACCGATGAATCTGAAAGAAATGATTCTGGTGATAATGGACGTTCCTTGTTATTCATTAATGTCTTTTCACTTTTGAAATTACATTCAGATGAAGCTGGTGTGATCAATTCTGATTTGATTGTATGAAACCTCTGAGTTTCCTCTAGGTTTGGATGGTTTTGATCTATTTCAGCTAAAGCATCATTTAAAGCTTGATCGATTTCATCAATTGAATAATCGGGTATGAATTCAGGCATGTTTTTTGGATCTGAGAATAAATTCTCTAAATCAATTTGTCCACTCATCTCTCAATGTTTATAATGTAATGGGGAGTGAAGAATGTAAGGAAAGCTGGGGTAATAGTTGACCAGAGAAGATTGAAGTGGTGATAAGGTTGAAGGAAATAGATGGATACGTGGTAGATCTGGCTCTTGAAGACTTTGTTTTGATCGTTTTCTTTCAATTGTTGTGCTCTATATGTGTTCCAAAAATTTTTTTTTAAGCTTAGACCAAAAATAAAAAATAAAAAAAAAAAAAATTGATCGTGTTCGAAACGCCAAAAATAAAAATCACCATGGAAACAGCAATTTTGTTAATTAATAGCCAAAGAAATTCGAGACTAAAGAGCTAATAACCCCAAGACTCCAGTGGTAAGCAATAAATACTCATAACTTAGCTTTAAAGAAGTTGTTTTGAAGATGTGAAAATTTTGTGTCAAAGTCACGTGACCCGCCGCGAAAACTTCAAAAAATAACTGCTTCCACTCAGAGTCGAACTGAGGATCGCTACATTACTAGTGTAGCGCCTTACCAACTTGGCCATAGAAGCTGTTACAAACACGAAAATTTGAAGATTCTACAGAGCGAGCTTTAGCTTACGTAATCATGAAATAAACTAATAACGATTTATTGTCATATTTGTTAGTATCAATGAATCAAATGAAGTCCCGATTGGTTTAAAGGGCTTCAAGTTATCTCTTGCTTTGTTCCAGTCTTAATTTGATGTTGTTTTTCTGCTGTTGTGGATGTTTTTTGACGTCTTAGCGAATCGTTGAACAGAAACTATACAAACAGAATATTCAGATGACAGAAAATATCTACCAGGAATGATTCCTAATTGATACAGGTCATTCTAAGGCTAGCTTAGTGCATTATAGCCGTTACTAGCTTACGTCGCTAAACTACTTAATTCAACTGATCAGGTTAGCTGTGAACAAAAAAGTTTCTATTAATTGTGTGACTTCTAGTGCCATTGATCTTGCCAAAAGCTGTTAGAGATATCAGCTCGCAGTTAATACTAACAACTGCTGATCCTTCTGAACAGAATAAATTTGAAACTTCCAAGTTGGGTTAGATTATCACTAAAAGAACTCTCAATTTAACAGATAATTGTATCTATTATTTCTGTTCATGATGAACAAATTTTAATACTTAAGTAACCAACTTTCCCAACATTTTGTAACTAATTCATTCATCTTAATCTTCATACAATACTTGAGAAGTTTTAACTATTGTATAACAATCAATCCATTCAATCAATCAACTAACCAACCATGACTGACAAACTCTTCAAAGAATTTGAAGCAAGAACACCATTCTCCCATATATTATTGAACCCTGAATTATGTTCAAGAGTCTTACACTCTTACAATGATCCTAAAACTTTTGCAAAATCTCATGAATATTTAACTGGTTCTAAATTTCCTGAAAAAGTTGTTGCTAATCCTAACTTTGATGCTTCAAGTGCTTACCATGCCTCCAATGTTTGTTTTATCAAGGAAGTGAAGAACCCTCAGGGACACCATCAGTATTTCAACTATCATTCAAGACCTATTATTAAAAAACATGTTTCCACTTTATGTCCTTATTGTTCTCCATTCAAGATGATTGGATATGGTCCTTCATTAATTTCAAAGTTCCAAGATGGTGAAGAAGTTCTCATTGATTCTTGTTTACCACAATTCTATGATGAAACCTCTGGTGAATATGAAAAACATTTAGCTGAAGAGCATGGTGTGTATAAGGATTCATGTGTGAACATTCCATTTGTTGGGTTATGTGTTGCAAATTTCTGTCATGATTATACTCCATCAATTATCTGTCCATATGAGAAGAAAACTTTCCAGAAAAAAACTCCATGTTTAACAACTTTCCATTTCAATGTTGATACTGATTATCCATTCCGTGATTATTTCAAACATGTTTATCATCATCATATAGCTAAGGATGTTCATGTGATTGATAGTGATCCAGTTTATAGAAAAGAAGTTGAAGTTGAAAATAATGAACTTTTTCAAAATGTTTTTTATCCATTCTCTGTTGATAATTTTGAGAAAGCTTTGAAAGCTTTACGCTTTGCATGTGGGAACATTAGTTTGGATCCTATTTTACTTTGTGAAGATTATCATAAAATCAAATATGTTGAAAGTTTTGTTCAATCTGCTAATGCCTCACCACCTTGTTCACCAGTTGATGAAAGAAAATTATTTTCAACAAGAAAAGGTATTCCAATTCCTGGAGCTGCATTCCTCAAGTCTTCAGCAAACCAAAGCTCCTCATCATCTTTTGAAAGTTTGAAAGATGATATCCCACGTCAACGCCGTCGTGCTTCTTCACTTCCTTCGGCATTTGAGATGGGTGATCTTGCAAACGAATTGAATGATATTCCTCAACGTGGTGATAATTCTAGTTCATCTGGTGATCGTGATATCTTGGAGGAGGAAACTGAAGATAATGAATCTAATCATAGTGGAAGTGATGATGAAGGATCAAATCATAGTTCAAATCCATCAACCAATAGTTCTAAAACATCCTCTTCAACCAATAGTTCAAGATCTTCTTTAACATCATTATTTTCAAGGGCATCAACTACTGAAAATTCATCAACATCTAGTCATTCAGAAAGTTCAAATGCTCCATCAGATTTAGCACCATATTCAACTTTATCATCATCATCGTCACCAACATCACCAAGTGATGATTTCCTCTCTCCAGTTGGAATTTTTGAAGGAGATTTGACACATGAAATATCAGCTGGTGAAAGAGAAGAGTATGAGGAAGCTTATACTAGAGGATATCCAACAGTTGAGCAATTGCAAAGTGGATACATGCCACAGATTGATCATTGGAATGCTGATCTTGGTATACTTTCTCCTATCCCAGAGGAAGATGAAATATCAATTGAAGGTGAAGATGATGATTCCCAGAAAAATGCATCAGCAACCCCAAGTGACCAGTCATTCAAGGAGAATAAAGAACAAAGTGAAACTTTATTAACAGATTCAGAAGTGAGGGATGCACTTGACGAAGAAATTGACATTCACCAAAAGAGATTCATTGGGATCCTTATCCGTCATAGCAGACTAACTGGTGAGCCAATTGATAATCTTGCAACTGAGTATATTGATAGTTTTTTCAGCCGTTATCCAGATCTTAATCTTGGGAATTGGAAACAAATATCATCTCCAGTTACAGGTGATTTTGAATTTGATGACGATGAACAATAGACAAGAGCTTTTGAACCAAATCGTTTACCATCACCATTGATTAACAGTTACATTGGATAGCACATAGTTGTACTTCTGCAAATAGTAAGGACCAGGAGATGACATGATTGTTGTTAGCGAATGTGGTTGAGATCAATTGTATATAAATGGATTGTAATATAAATGTGTTTTGTTGACTTGATTGTAGTTACTCTCTTTCTTCATCAGTTAATTTCATAAATTTAACTTCATGAACCCTTTCCAGCCTTTTGATGTTGATGATGTTGTTTCCGCTTTCATCAAAACCGTTTGAGGTTCTTTACAACGCCGGTTTTTTTCAACGTTTCTTATCTATGTTTATGACTCGGGATTTAATATTCTTACATCTCGAGATTATGACTATAAGCAACCCCCGTATAAAAAGCACTAAAATATCCTCAATCCAATCACACAATTGACCTTTAAAGCATCCAAGCACAATGGTCAAAGGAAGAGTCGCTGCATTACAAGTTGGTTCAGAAGCCACAACTCAAAAAACCCTGGAAAAAATCCTATCTTTTGAACAAGCTTTGGCCAAGGAGGAACTTGATCTAGTTGTCATTCCTGAAGCTACACTAGGTGGATATCCTAAAGGTTGTTCATTTGGTTCTTTCTTGGGGTATAGATTACCAGAAGGTCGTGAACAGTTCCTTGAATATTTTAAACAATCTGTTAAAATCCCTGAAGGTGAAGAAATTAGAGTATTGGAATCATTCTCCAAAAAAATCAACGCTACAGTTGCAATTGGTGTTATTGAAAATGGTGGCTCTACATTATATTGTTCTTTGGTTTATATTGATCCAAAACTAGGTTATGTTGGTAAACATAGAAAATTGATTCCGACAGCATCTGAAAGGTTAATCTGGGGTAGTGGTGATGGTTCAACATTACCAGTTATTGAAAGTAAAGTTGGTAGAATTGGTGGTGGTATTTGTTGGGAAAATTATGCTCCATTATTTAGAACTGCGTACTATGCAAAGGGACTCGATGTTTGGGTTGCACCAACTGTTGATACCAGAGAAATTTGGAGAGTTTCAATGAGAACTATTGCTTATGAATCAAGATCTTTTGTTATCTCTGCTGTTCAATTCCAACCTGCTGTTAGTGAAGAGAAAACACCAATTGGTTGGGAGAAAGGCGTCAATTTGATCAATGGTGGTAGTGTCATCGTTAACCCAATGGGTGAGATAATCGCTGGACCTTTACTTGGTGAAGAAGGCTATATAGTGGCTGATATTGATCTTGATGATGTTATCAGAGCTAGATTTGATTTAGATCCTGTTGGTCATTATTCCAGGGGAGATATTTTCAAATTAACGGTTGATGAATCACCAAAGGGTGTTCAATTCACAAAATAGTAAATTTCAATAGACTTCGATAATCTACAAAATTCAAAATGACAAATCCAAAGGAAAAAATATCTTAAATATTATAATAAACAAAATTTGAACTCAAGTTCACCCTGAAACTTGTAATGTATTGTATGATGGCTTCTGATAAGAAACCCAATGTCAACATTAACGAAGATCAGTTGATTGAGGCTCATACCCATCAGAAAACCCTAGGCCGTCTGAGTCTGAAAACAACAGGCACGAGGGTTCTGATGTAAAATCTGAAAGGTTACGTTAAGACCAGATGGAATAGTTCATTCATTCTTTTTTTAGACAAAGGCCTCTCATGTTAATTCACTCAAAAGTCAATCTGTGAAAAATAACACTCGAGGCCTTTTCTAAAAGCTCTCTCATTTTCAAGAATAGAGATAGTGTGGACAGTGGTACATAAACTAAGAGCAACAAATTAAAAATTGAGAAATCTTTTTTTTTCTAAGACTCTGTCAAACAGACCGGTTCAGTTGGAACATACAATAACTTTTTAGTACATTAAAGCAGTTTACTTCTTTGTCTATCTGAGGTTATTATGTAGGTTATTTATACTGGTTTCGTATTGAAGGGTATTGAAATAAGTATTTGGCAAAGGAACCGAACTTTAACATTTCAATGGGTGCGATCTTAACACAATTCCTACAAGTGGTCAATCATATAAAAGCAAATTATTCATAAGTTAAAAATTCAATGTAGATTATTTGAATTTAAGTTTGGGACGTATTGTTGGCCTATACATTTAAGCCATGATCAACATCGCCTAAACTTTATCAAAACCAACTTGTAGGTTTAAAAGTACAAATGTTCTGTTCTAGTTTTGAAAAGCTCCACAGCATTGAATAGCTATATCACCTTTCAGCTGTTCTTGAAACAACATTCACACTTCAAGCAATACAGAAAACGCTATGAACTCAGTTACTGCAAAAAAGACAAAATAAAAAATACTAGTGGATACACAGCTAAGCATTAGATTATTAGGTCAACCTCAACAAAAATCATAATGTACAAAGGACAAGTAATCCACGCAGTGGTTCAAAAGGCAAATTGACATGACCTTAATACAAAAGCATGAAGCCATCAGATCTAACTCACTGTCCAACGACCTCTGTCCACTTTTGTGCACAAAGCAATAAACGAAATAGTCAAATTCTTCGGACGAAACTGTAACCAACTAAAAGAGATCAAATGAAAACATCAAGTTCAAAGTCAACAACATCAGAAAAACGTCTTTTCTTAAACTGAACTTACATAAGATCTTAGTCATCATGTTTTTGAAAAACATGGCCAATTCGCGACTTTAACTCGTTGTCCCTTGTGGACATTTGGTCAATTAGAAATAATACAGAGATGATCAGCAGTTCCCCTGCATAAGGATGAACCGTTTTACAAAGAGATTTACTATTTTTTTTGTCATTTTTTCATAGCATATGATATGATATGTGTGGTTCTTTGATGTTTTGTGTTCAGATTGGTTTGAAAATGTACAAAAATTGGATTGTGGTGGTGCTGTTTGGGCTCGAAATGATACAAAAAAGTTCAGGGCCTGATAGCTATTAATTTAGGAGACATTATTGGCATATTATTAAGATTGATTGGATATTGAAATCTTATGATCCAACGATTGATAATACATTTGACATTAATTAATTATATTATATTTTTTAATTAATTAATTATTAATAATTTTTTAATTAATTAATTATTAATAATTTTTTTTTTTTTTTTTTAGTTGATGTATTTGATGAACGCTTGGATGAGGAATGCTAGTATATATAATTATTTTTTTTAATTTTTTTAATTATAATCTGATGTGTATAATATTTTATAATTAAATGCTAAAATAATGTACAAAATCACTGGGGACTCAGTGATCTATCAATATTATATTATTATATGAATATCACTGAATATTTAATATATATAGATATAAAAAAGAGATCATAAATCAGAATAAAAAAGTTGGCTGAGAAGGATATTTATATAAGGAAGACTGAATTTCAACATAGCAAGAAGCCTACATCATCCAAGCGGTTCGTGCGACGTAATTGCATTCCTCATCCAATTAGTTCATCAAATACATTAACGTCTAAAAACAGGTAAAAATGAACTCATAGAAAAGCTGGTCATTGTACATAATTGGAACAATTAGACAATTAATACGTGAACTTGGCAGCTAGCTCGTGTGTGGTGAATACAATCATAAATCATCTTTCTCAACACCTTTAGTACACTCGGTGATTCATCTCGGTGTTTGAAAAAAAACACCGATCAGTTCACCGTCGAAAAAAATCAATGTGAAAGATAAGGATTCATACAAGTTCAAGATCCAAATTTAAAGAGGTGTTTTTACCTCACACCGAAAGCCAAAAGAACCCTCCCAACCCAAGTACACAGTGTCGATCAGCCATCAATCAGACCTTATCCATACATACCCAACAGATCACAAGAGACTCATTTCCCCTTGTTGAAATGAATTTCCATTAATAGTTGTAAGCCTCAAATCTCGCCCTATTTCACATCGCCTGTTTTGATCACAACTTATTCATTTATATAATATCATAGAACTTTGCCACTTTCTACTACTGTTACTCTTTCTTTTTGAAGCAATTGAATCAACTAAAGAAAGAAAATGTCCATCAAATTGCAAGATTCATCAAACGTGACGGCCCATAATTCATGGGCCAATAGTCGTCGTTCAATATTGTCCTCAATATCTTTGTTATTATTACTGACTACATGGTATTTCCTTCCAAATACTGAGAATTCAAAGCTATTTCAATCCTCACTATCTTACCCCCAATCACCACCATCACCAATTTTAATTCCAACTCCAGAAAATTATCAAGATTTAGTTAAACCAATCACATTAGAAAATGCAACTGCAATTTTCAACACCGTGTTAGCAGCACTAAGACCAAAACATTCACAATTGATTCCTAATGGTGTTAGTTTCATTCCTGCTTATATCCCTCAAGGCTCATTATTATACCATGGTAATAACAATGGTGAAATCCCAAAAGGTTTAGAATGGGTAGCATTTGATCATGAATTCAGTATGAATTTTATTGACCATAGATTTGGAATGGGTGGTCCTCCTGGATTCAATGGTTCCAAGCCAGGTCATGGTCCAAAGCATGGGAAACATAAAGGTCCACCACCAATGGAAGTCGACGAGAGAGGCCCACCACCACCACCACACAAAGGAGGACCAGGTAATAAAGGACCGTTTGGACCAGGTAAAGACCGTCAAGATCATCCATCAATGTTGACTTTCCAAGTTGTCAAGCCGTTAGATAAGATGATTTTATTGGATGGTTCAAGTGCAGCAAAATCAAGAACTGGTGAAATGGATACACAAATGGTTTTAGCTCGTGCAGGTGTTAATGAAACAATGAGAGAATATGAAGCTGCTGAAAAGATATGTAAATGGGGGAAACCATTTGGAATTGATGGATATATAAGAGTTGAAGTTGGGTTTGAAGCTGTTATTTGTGATTTCCATTCAGAAAAATTGAAATTGATCTCAAATGTTACAATTGAAAGGGCTCAAGAATCATTGAAGTTCCCATTAGAAGATGGTGATGATATTAGTGCAGAGGAGAAACACATTTTGGATAGGATATATGCTACTGCTGGTTATGAACAAGTTAAACAAGGTAATGTTCATGATAAACGTGATGGTAGAATTTTATTGGACTTTAGAGGATTGGTTACACCTTTGAATAGAACTTGGGTCAATCCAGATCCTTATTTACGTCGGATCAACAATGTATCAAGTGATTTACAAGATGAATTGATTCAAGATTTAGGAAGCTATATGTCAAGTGAACTTAATCCATATCTAGGCACTGATTGGCAATTGGTTGCTGATGAAATAATTGATAAACTTGCACCGATGCTGAAACAGTTGAATGATTCTTTATCAAACTTGTCACAGAGCTCTAAGGATGAAGAAATACTTGAATCTGCAACCAATTGTTCTGTATTGACTTCAGATTTTGTTAGAAGATTTGCAGATTTTGATATCAAAGATAAACATGTTAGATTTGAAAAGGCTAAAAAGCAAGCAACATACCAATACTCACATCCTTTACAACATCTACAATCAGAATCAGATGTTCTAATATGGTCATCAATAACACATATCACTTCAAAAGTTGTTGATACCATTTTTGAGATTTCAAAGCATAGTGGGAAAGTTGTGATTGCAGGTTATGTTGAAAAAACTCCACTTGGAAAATATAAAGACTCATTGCTTGCATCTCAAGAAAATCTAAACTCATTACTTGAGACATTGAATTGGCCAATCTATTATGAATGCGACAGATTATGTGGATGGAATGAAGTTTGTTATACACCTTCTTGGGGCCCAAATCCACTGAGTTCTTGGGGGAAAGATGTTTTCGGAACAATTACGAAGGAAGGTGAAACAAGAGCAAGAGTGGTGAGTCCATTACAATGTATCAGTGTTGACACTATTCTGGAGTATAAATCTAAACGTCAAAATAGAATTTTATAGTAACTAAACCTGGTTATTTGTCTCTTGTGGATATATATGAAAAGATCTGACTTACCAAGACATAAGTTACTATTAGCTATTCAAAATAAACAATTCCTATAATTTAAACTAAATCTCTCACTAGTTTTAAACCCGTTTTAAATAAATCAAATTAAAATTAGTTTATACTACCCTCGTAATTTTACTTTTCACGTGATGATAACGCACCCCGGAACTCACCCACCCCCAGTAAAAGGTCAATAAGTTTAAAGTCAAGGAATCTTGTTTGCAACCTCGCCCCTTTGAAGAAACAGATAAAACGCTAGCCAATTAGCTCCACGCTCCTTATTCAAATCCAATCCAATCGTTCAAGTATATTACAAGAGAGAGAGATGAGTACCACAGCTGCCTCTTTCCCTACAGCTCCAACTGGTGAGATTGTGTTCAAGACAAAGACTATAGATTTTGACGGGAGAAGAAACATCCTTATCCAGAATGAAAATGGACCCTGTGCATTATTAGCATTAGTTAACTATATCTTGCTAACAGTTGATCATTTAAGTGCCCCAGAGATTCATGATTTAGTTGCATTGGTGAATAGTTCTAATGAGATCCCATTAAGTGGATTACTCAACTATCTACAACAGATTGTCACTGCAAATCAACGTACCTATGGAATTCCACCAGAGGAAGTTCAAACTACATTAAGCTTTTTACCAAGCCTTCATGAAGGTTTGAATATAAATCCACAATTTGATGGTACTTTCAGTCCAAGTCATGAATTGGCATTATTTAGAGATTTCAACGTTCCATTAGTTCATGGTTGGTTAGTTGATCCAAGTGCCCCAGAGTATAGAGGTGTTATTAAATATAACTCTTATGAAACTGCCCAAAATGTGCTTGTTGAAGCTTATGACGTTGAACAAAAAGCAAATAAAGATTCGGTTGATTTAGAAATTATAGATGATTCAAGACAAATTAAGTCTTTCTTTGCAAGAACTGCCACACAATTAACAGATTATGGTTTACATTATCTACGTGATAATTTACAAAACAATTCAATTGCTGTTTTATTTAGAAATGATCATTTTGCTACAATCATCAAGAAAGATAATGATATTTATGCATTAGTTACAGATGTTGGATTTGCCACAAAGAAAAGTTTTGTATGGGAATCCTTATTATCTATAAATGGGGCAAACAATTCATTCTTTACAGGTAATTTTTCACCAATTTTAGAAGATTCTTCAAACCCATTTGATGATTCTAATGTGGATAATGATGATTTGAATTCAGCAGAGGAAAGAGACCGTGCATTGGCAATTGCAATGCAAGAAGAAGAAGATAATAGAGTTGCAACAAATTTACAGAAAAGATATGAAAAGAATAATAACAAGGCTAAGAAATCACCAAAAGAGGAAAAGAAACAAAAAAAGACCAAAGATGGTAAAAAGAAGAAGAGTTGTATAATTATGTGAGAAACTAGAAAATGAAACACCTTTATGACTTTTACGATTTTTTGAAAACCTCATCAATAATATAAATTTGTACATTTTCAATCCCTTCTCTTTTTTGAAGCTGGTGAATTATCATTATCACCATTGAAAAATTGATTATGAACAGCTTCCTTCACGAAATCTCTTAATTTAGCTTCAGGATTCTCACTTTCTGCAATTTCTCTCAATTGTTCCCTTTGAGCATCATCTATTTGTAATTCTATGTCTTCATTTTGATAACTATAACTAATCTTATGTCCCTCCACTTCGTCAGGTCTTGGTAAGGTATCAAGCAAGTTATTGTTCTCAGTTGGATTATCATGGTTTAAAGATCTTAGGTATTGAACAACTTCAGGAAATTCATCATCCTCCTCTATGTAATCTGCCGGTATTTGACCATCATTATTCTTTAGCCTCCAATCAGCCTTGTATTCCTCCACCAACAACTTGGCAACTTGCAAGTCTTCAACATGATGCAACGGAGCATCCCCTTCAGTGTCCTGTGTGTTTATATCACCACCTTGTTGTATTAGATATTTTAATAGTTCAACATGTCCATAAGAGACAGCCGCATGTATTGGAGTGTACCCGTTTGGATCCTTGGAGTTTGCAGAAAACTGGCCAGTGGAGATGTAGTTTTGCACAGTTTCCAAGTCGTTATCAGCAGCAGCAACCCAAATATTGTTAACCATGATGAGTGTGTTTGAGATTCCTTTTATATTATGGCTCTTGATTTTGACATCTATAAATTTTTTTTTTTGAAATTATGCTTTTCGCGAAAAACAAACGTTGGATAAAAAAGGCTTCGAAGATTTCTTTTATACCTGGTATACTTTGGGTAACGAAAAGGCATAAAAGATGAGCAGTTCAGATGGGATACCGCCAGTGGAGAAGAACCTCCCTCCAAAACCACCGGCAAAAGAATCAGATATTCAAGGGTTTGAATGGTGGAGACGTACAATGTCCTACAAGACGGGTTTAGGATTAACAGATGATGAAAAAATCAGATATGAAAATGATTTAAAATATAGAACTAACCAAAAAGATTGTGATAAATGTTATGAATACCGTGATTGGGCTTTGAAATATTCACCCACTGTGATATTCATGCTTCAGCAGATTAAGAAAGCTGGTGGGCATGTTAGTGATGATAAAATTGTTTGTGACATTTGTGATGAATGGAAAGGTGGTGGGTTCCATCCTGAATTAGGTGTGTTGTTGTGTCAAAATAGAATTATTGATAAGTGGCACCTAGAGGATACATTGTCTCATGAGTTGGTACATTATTATGATAATTCCAAGTTTAAAGTTGATTGGGTAAATCTAAAACATCATGCTTGTTCCGAAATTAGAGCTAGTTCATTAAGTGGTGAATGTAGATTAATGAATCAAATACATAGAGCTGGATTAACAAAATTTGGAAGAGGTCATCAAGAATGTGTCAAGAGAAGAGCTACATTATCCGTGGCTTCTAATCCATTTTGTAAAGATAAAGAAGAGGCCAAAAAAGTTGTTGAAGAAGTTTGGGATTCATGTTTCAATGATACAAGACCTTTTGAAGAAATATATCGTTAGATTAGAAAACAAACCTTGTAAATAAAAATTCTATAAATGCACTATGGATTTTGATGTAGGTTGTTTGGATTTTCTAAAAAGTCAAGTATAAGGTACACATAACTGATGGTCCAGATGCAATACCAACCCAAAATATAATATTTCCTAAAGTTCTTCTCTCTTTCAAATATTTGGTTTTAGAAATGGCAACTAATGGTAATTGAAACATTTGTAATAATAATAAATACCCTCTCATTTTATGGAAAAGAACATACATGGCCATTTCATGAACAATTGAACTTAATAAGAAAGTGAAAATAGTGGCTGAAGTTTTACTTAATCTTAAAGCACTAATTGAACTATGATAAACATGTCTTAATAAGAATTTATGCACTGGTATATTCCATTCTCTTGCAAATTGATCCCAAGAAACACAATTCCACCAATCACCATAGAAATCACGATCACCAAATTTACTCAATTCAGCAATACAATTCAAGATTGCATCCCAAATTAAATACCAAACAAGGATATAAATCAACAAGAAACTTGGCATGATGTTTAATAATAATAATGGATAATGTAAGATTCTTTCATTTAATGGTAATGTTCTTAATTCTAGAGCCTTGATTGCTAATGGATACATGTAATTTTGAGCAATAACAATCATCAACAGGATAATACCAAAGATAGCACATAATTTTTCACCAACATATGACCATCTAATCCTTTCAGTTCTTGGATATTCAATTTGATAAATTAAAGTTGGAAACATTGTATAATTGAAGAAATTCTTCAAATTAATATTTGTTGGGAATGGTTCAATATTTGATTGAGATTGTAATTCAAATTCACAAAATTCTATTGATTCATTAATTAAATTTTTAACATGATCATCTTCAATATCTTCATTTTTTTTCTGAAATTGTCTGGAAAATTTCAATTCATCATAAATTCTCCAAAGATAACCATTATAAAACCCATAAGAATGCATCTTCATTAATAGCACCAATTGATGTAAAAATAAGAAAATTTTACCAATCCATGGGAAATTTCTATGTTCAGCAATTGACATAAATACAACAAGAAATATAAATTCATAAAATGATAAAATGATCCACCCACTCTTGGACCATGATAAAAACCCCTTAGCCACAAATGAATGTAAAATAAAAGCAAAATATATAGATAAATACATCAATAAATCCATAAATGCAATATCAAACAAATCAGTCAATAATAATGTAACAATTTGTGATTCTAATCCATAAGCTCTTATATAGTTAACAACACTATCAACGACAACAACAGCAACAGCTAACCAAAACAAAACGAAAAACCCAGCAAATCTATTTGTTCTTGTTGCAGAATGATCCATAATGGAATCAATTTTAGAAAATTTAACATCTGTTAATTTTGATTTTGGTAAACCATCTTTAAATCTTTTATTATCAACTGTAATTTTAGTTTTCAATTCATATAATTCTTTATCAGTAGTTTTCCTAACCAATTTCAATTTAGGTTGATTCTCAATTATCTTGTTACTATCGTCATTTGTTTCAACAACTTTTATAGGTTCATGTTGTTGTTCTTGTTCCTCTGTTGCTTCATCACTTGATGCTGATCCAGGAACACCTAAAGCAATTTTAGAATCATCATAATCTTCATCAAACACCAAGCTTCTTCTATTCTGATTAATCGTTTCCAATTCCTGTAGAGTGGAATCCTCAGTATATTGTCTCTTTGGAGGTTTAAAACTATTTGATTCAGTCATTATCAAAATTGATGGAATTTGAATTAAAAGTTAAACGAGAACCAGCTCTATTAACCCTTTTATATAATTATTTCTGTATATCTGAATTTCCAATCACAAGATAAATCTTTCTATCCGATTGTAAAATAACCCCGTACCGTACCGTTATACCGTTATACCGTCAATTGTCTAACCCTTTTAAACAGAAAATACTGATTATTACTTTTGCCATATAACAGAAAATCGATATTCCGAATCCCATTTTCAAAAAGGGCCGAGCACCGTCACGAAATGGCAGATTTATTAATATCATCACGTGACTTAAATTATCTGTCATCATCGCCCGTGTCACTACTCTATTTTTTTTTAATATTTTTTTTGTTTGATTCAACTTCCTCATAATGAAAAGAGTTAAAAGAGTTAAAAGAGTATTAAAAGAGTGTTGTTCAAGGAATATGTCCCGTCCTGAACAACTGGCACCTCCAGAGGTGTTCTACAATGATTCAGAATCAAAGAAATATACCTCCTCTACACGTGTGCAACACATTCAAGCCAAGATGACATTCAGAGCTTTAGAATTATTAAATTTAGAAGATTATTCACATTTTATACTAGATATAGGGTGTGGTTCAGGACTTAGTGGAGAGATCCTTACAGAAGAGGGCCACATATGGTGTGGTATGGATATTTCAACATCGATGTTGGCGACTGGATTGGATCGTGAAGTTGATGGTGATTTATTCTTAGCAGATATGGGGAATGGTATACCTTTTAGAGCTGGTTCTTTTGATTGTGCGATTAGTATATCTGCTATCCAATGGCTTTGTAATGCGGATAGTGCGGATGTTGACCCTAAGAAGAGATTGTTGAGGTTTTTCAATACGTTATTTGCAAGTTTGAAAAGAGGTGGGAAATTTGTTGCACAATTTTATCCAATGAATGATGAACAAATTGATTCAATATTGAGTAGTGCTAAAGTGGCAGGGTTCCAAGGTGGGTTAGTTATTGATGATAGTGAAAGTAAAAAAAATAAGAAATATTATTTAGTATTAAGTGCTGGACAAAGTGCCCAAAATTTGAATTTAGCAGGTGTTACAATGGATGCACCTGAAGAAGTTGGTAAAAAGATTAATAAAAAGTTAAAGAGAAAATTGGAAAGTAGAAAAGATTATGTTAATAGAAAGAAGGAATTAATGAAGAAAAGAGGGAAACATGTTGCTAAAGATTCTAAATTCACTGCAAGAAAGAGAAGACCTAGGTTTTAGAGCAAGGGGATCAGGCATTTTGCATATTGTTTTTGTATATTAGAAAGGATTAATATAGGGAGGAAATTAATGATGGATATTTGTACCATAATTAATTCTTTTATTAGTACTGAGAATTACGCGCATTGAAGGACTTTTAGATCTCACTCATGTGTAATTTTCAGCACTAACAAAAAAAGGGTTTCGCGAAATGTTGATTTTTTTTCATCCAAAAACTGAAAAATCAAAGGGAATCAAAAATGATCAGTATTAAGAAGTCTAAGAACTGATTAAAGCAGTGATGTTTCGTCCTACTTTGTTCAACAGACTAGCAGTATTTGCTAGCAGACCAATCCAACAAGTTGCCAACTATCAAATCCCAGCCACAACCAGTAAGTGAACCCCCCATGTACATTCATAGATGATGTATAACTAACGTATTTAAAAAGGAAAAGTCATACCAGTTTATCATCCATTAAAGAAGAAGGCACCAAAGAAAGTAACAGAAGTTTATTTAGACCAACAATATGCCAAACTGGATCCAGAAGGATGGAGACGTAAATTAATCACTGCAAATTCAGAAACAAGATTATTACCAGGAGATGTTGTAAGAATTGTATATACAACTAGACAAATTCCTCAATTCTTGGGACAAATCATTGGTATAAATAAAGGAGGAGTTGATGCTTCGTTATTGTTGAGAAATAATATCACCAAGATTGGTGTTGAGATGAGGGTTAAGATTTTCAGTCCTTTGATTCAAAGAATTGATGTTGTTAAGAAACCATTCAAGAGACGTTTAAGAAATAAACATTATTATATTAGAGGGAATAGATTGGATGTTGGTGATTTGGAGGCTGATTTGAAGAAGGCTAGAAGAAAAATGAGACGTTGAGAAGGTGAGGGTGCATGATGTGTGTAAATAGTGATTATAAAGATTTAATTATGAATGTATTTAATTTATCAGATACTTGGTATATGTATGATTCAATCAATTTGGAGTATATTTTTGAATTCCATAACTACCTCTGCCTGATTGAGTAATTAAAAACTATAACTTACAAATTAAAAAACTAGGAAATAATCAAATCCCCAAATTTTATTCAATCCTACACTTTCTTCAAAAACTTTGTTCATCTGAAAATTGCATTCATACCACAATTGATAAACATAAACAAATCTCGAAAAAAAACACACACACACAGGAGCACTTCCCGTAAGCCATTTTTTGGGCGTTCTCTAAAAAATAGATTTGGGTGCTACAAAATGGCAGTTTTGGCAGAAAATCGTGTCAGTATCCCGCCAAAAGCTGGACGGCCAGGGCACAAACCATTAATTTTGGAAGGATGCTATTTTCCTACAAAATAGAGAACAGGCCAATAACACCAAATATATATAGCCAATGTGTATTAAAACCATAGGACTATTGATCAGCATGGCCTAATACAGTATTATCGACTCTTACTGGTACTTTTTAAGAGTGTTTATGGTTGTTTTTATGTGCCAGTGCTATTTTCATTCTTGCTCAGTCTATTTTTTTGGAAGGGCGAAATAGAAGCCATTTTGCAAAATAGATTTAGACTCAGCTTCGGAGCTGAGTCTATTTTTTTTTTCGCCATACAAAAATAGCAGCCGCTACCATTTTTTCGGTCCGGACACGAGTTTTTCACCATAGTTAAGAAATTTTAGATATAGACGCGAAAAATGGACTAGAAAAAAGCTTACGGGAAGTGCTCCACACACATCCATCACTCATCCTCCACAAATGTCATCAGAACCCCAACAAATCATAAAAGAATATCAATCCTTCTTTCACTCAATCCAACAATCCCCAAATGATCCACAAGTATTGAAAATCATCACATTAGAAAACATTGAAATGGATGTAGAATTTTCAAATAATGGTTGGATTTTCAATAATTTTGAAATTTTTGAAATTTTTGAAAATGGAATGATGTTGAAGAGTGAAGGTTTTAAAAGAAAATTTCATGATGTGTTGTATGAGAAGTTGAGTAAGTTGGAAGAGGTGAGGGATGAGTGATTGTTGGTGGTTTTGTTGTGGTGGTGGGTTGATATGGGTGTTGAGTTGAATCGTGACGGGAAAATGATGATAGTTATACTGTATTGTGTATCATTTAATTAGGTGATGTTGATGAGCGTTGATTCATGAAGCTATAGTCATTGATATGAATTGGATGGTGAATACAAATCCATGAATCCAGTATTAGAGGTCATTTCAATTGAATTCGTTAAAGGATTGTTCATGACTTCAATCAAATCTAATAAACCTTCAAGTATCAAAGATCTCAATGGATTGTGAAAAGTTATTGATCCAGAAAGCTATGGAGACAGTGAATTAAACATAATCTTTTGTGGATCAAAAGGATAAAGGCATGAATGCTAAGAAAATTTCAGTCATAGGAGATTGGAATTATATATTCACTTTGAAATTCATAGATACAACGTAATAGATAAAGGACAGCTTAATGACGCTTAACAATTTAAAAGTCAATCAATATAAATCAACTCCAAGAGTATCTATTTTCTCTTATTTCAACTGTTTCATGTAGTTTTCAAAGTAGCTCTAATTTCTCACCAATCAGAGCCCATGAATTCTTTTTCCCTTGAAACAGGAATAAACAGAATCCATACTTTTCTAAACATACTACACTACACTACACTAGATTAGCTCACTTTCTTCAACAATAAAATCATAATCACTACATTCTCGAGTCTCTTTTGATGTTCCCCAGGAAGGACCTAAACTAAATCCAACGGCCAGCCTAAACGGTGATGAACCAAACCCCGAAAGGACTTTAAAACTTTTAAGAGAAGAACTGAACTGAACTGAATTGATTCAAAGTATTGAGATGAATCACATTGACTATAACTAATCATATTGACTACAATCACATACACTGATTCAAACTCAATACTTAGTCTTTCTTTCCAAGCCCCTCTATTACTTAATGCAACTTTAAGTTAACGTCACTGCTTAGACATGAATTTGTCACAAAAAAAAGATTTAGCAAGCAATAAACTACTAATCAATGTTATTATATCTATTCATTTTATTCATATACACTTTCATATCAGCATTAAAGAAGGGGAAGATTTAAAATCAGACAGTATTAATAATTATGCACAAGAATATATAGTTGATAGTTAATCAATCTAAATTGGGTGTGAAGTTCTGTGTGATCATTTATAAATATCAACTCTTTTATATGGGACAGAACCACTACCTTGTTTTTCTCTCTCCACTCTAGCTTCTTCTTCTTCTAAAATTTTTCTCCAATCATCATTCTTATTTTTAGTTTCATAATGTTCTGGATGATTTTTCTCATCCCATAGACTTAGCCCCATACCAGCCAATAATAAAACAACAGTTAAACTTTGAGCATACATTCTTGCCTGGACGATTTTTTGCGCTTTAGTCATGATAGGATCCCTATCAACAAAGACCCAAGAACCATACATGGATGCGGCCCATGCACCAACAATGATTTTATATTTATGATTGATCAAACCCTGTGTGAATTTTTGTCCAATTGGTAAATTTGTCCATTCTTTATACTCTTCCAATTTCTTCTTGGAGTCATATTCACCACTATACATCTCCCTGTCAAAAGAGTTTGAAGATTCTTCGGCCCAGATTGTAGTGAGGACAGTTGGAGGAGTGATGAAAATTGCTGTTCTGATGGACCATGGTAAATTTTTAGGGAAGCCTGGGTATCTTCTAGCACCTAGTTTGAAGATTGCACCAGTGATTAATAAACCAGCTGTTAGACCTTTTAACCCACCAGAAGCAGTAGCGTAGAAATGGGCATCGATTTCTTCTTGAGTTAATAGTTTCATTGTGAGTGTGGTTGTTGTACTAGTTGTTGGTTAAAGAGATTGTTGAAAAGCGATTCTTGTTGTTTAAATAATTGAAATTTTCAATAGTGGCTTTAACGAGGAGCAAAGGCCGTGGTGGATGTTATTGGGTATTTTATAATAAGTTGTTGTGAGGATGAGAGTAGTTCGTGTTGTTAGTGGCTATTCAGTTTGTTGATGTTGAGTGGTGTGAGTGAGTGTCGTTTAGGTGGTGGTGGTGGTGAGTGTTGTATAGGGCATACCGAGTAATAGAGAGTAATAGAGAGTATGAAGTATTGATTTATTGGTTTATTCTATTGCTTTATTGATTCTATTGATTCTATCAATTAATCAATTATATTATTATTATTATTATTATTACTCTATTATACTATTCTACCATGGTTATTACGGTTGTACTTCTCACTACTACCACTTCCGTGGATACTGTTAATGGAGCGGATCCTCTACATCGTATAGAGTACTTATATAATCAGTAGGAGATCAATAGACTAGACCATTATACTATACTATACTCATTACTATTACTATATTATACTATACTAATACATACTAACACGTACTATATTACACCACCTTACTCCATTCTATTCCGTACCACTCCATCCCACCCATTACTACACAATGACTTATCCCATGATTACCAATTGCCATAATCCTCTTGAAAAAAAAACATCTTGATTACTCAACATCAACCACAACCATCAACTATACAACAAAGACCCAACCACACCATGCCCTTCACTCCTATCCCTGAAGCTATCAAAGCATTCCAAAATGGTGAATTCCTCATAGTCATGGATGACGAATCTCGTGAAAACGAAGGTGATCTAATAATCGCTGCCCAATTCACCACCCAATCCAAAATGGCCTTCCTAGTTCGTTATTCTTCAGGTTATGTCTGTGTTCCACTATCAACTGATCGTGCAAACCAACTAAACCTACCTTTAATGGCCACAGAGAATAACGATAGACACGGTACTGCCTATACAATAACCGTTGATTATAGAGAGGGAACCACAACTGGGATTTCTGCTCATGATCGGTCACTAACTGCAAGAAAATTAGCAGATCCAAGTGTTCAAGCTGATGAATTTATGAAACCGGGGCATATCTTGCCACTAAGAGCTGTTCCTGGGTTATTAAATGAAAGAAGAGGTCATACCGAGGCTGGTGTACATTTAACAAAATTGGCTGGTTTACAACCTGCTGCGGTGATTTGTGAATTGGTTAGAGATCAAGATGGGTTAATGATGAGATTAGATGATTGTGTTGAATTTGGTAAACAACATGATATTAAAATCATAACTATTGAACAATTAGTTAAATACATTGAAGAAAATTAAAAACTTACATATAGAATTTATTATTATACATCTATTTCTTTGATTTCTTCTCTTTTGGCTTTATTGCAACCAATCTCTCCTCTTGTCCAAATTTTAATTTATGTGGTTTCATAAATTTATCAATAACATCTTGATCAATTTCATTTCTTCTCTTTTGGAATTCCAATACAAATTCAGTAATTTTATCAATAGCCAATTTTTTCAATTCACCACTTAATAATTCCCCCTTTTTATAAGATTCATAAATCTCTTTCAACTTTAATTCATCCTCTTCGAAAAAACTTAGGTATTGGAATGCAACATCAATATCTGGATTACCACCTTTTAATCTATGTTCCTCCACTGAAATTTGCCCCCCACTAAAAGCATATTTATTAATCTTTTTAGCAATTTTCTTTGGTGTATCATCCAAGAAAATCGCACTATTCTCATCACTTGCACTCATCTTTGTAGTGGAACCTTGTAAAGCTGGGAAAAATTTACTATGAATCAATGCAGGTTTAGCAAATTTTAATTTTTCTGCAACATCACGACAAACTCTAAAATAAGGATCTTGATCAATTGCACATGGAATCAAACATGGTGTCTTTGGTGGTAATCCCAACACATCTGGGAATGAAGAAGGGAAAGCAGTGGCGATTTGAATTGATGCAAAATGAACTTTCCCAATACAATCTGAATCTTGAAACCCAAACACAGCTTTTGCAGTAGATGTTGTAATTTGTCTTGAAGTTCTAACAACATTTTCATAAAATGCTCCATTCATATAATCCAAATCACTGAAAATAAAAGTATTCTCCGGTTTAAACCCAACACTAATAATATCTTTAGCATTCTCTTTAGCAAATTTTTTAACATCATCAATTGTTAATTTTGGCTTGAATAAAAACTTTTCATCATCTGTCAATTCCACAACCAACCCAACATCAAACACATCCTGTAACCATTTCGTAAACAAAAACGGAACCAAATGTCCCAAATGCATACACCCACTCGAAGGTCCACGTCCCGTATATAGGAAAAATTGTTCTCCAGTTTCATAAAGGTCTAAAATCTTGTTGAAATCCCTCTCACTGAAAAAATAACCCTTTTTCAGGAAATGATGAGGTTCATGACCGGTCACTCTGGTGAATCTTTCTAATGTCTCGGGTGTCATTGGTTTTGTACCAAATTGTTTGATTAGTTTATCATAGTCGATTATTTGAGCTTCACCGTTGATGACGGCTCCTTCAACTTCCCATGGTGTGATTTTTTGTTCGGTGGAGGGGTCAAGGTGGAGGTTATCCGTTGAGGAAATGATTTCTTCAGTCATTATTGAATGAATGTGAAAGGAATAGTTTGATAAGTGTAGTTTAAAGATTAATTTGATTTCTTGATTTTTTCACTTCGTTTTGAAAAAAATATCAAACAGTCAAACCTCATTTTTTTGGAATTCGCGAAGATATTTATACATCTGATGTTGTAGGTTTTGATGAAACAGAGATGTACTCTGTGTTCTCATGAGTCATCTGAAAACAGAGTTATATATTATTTTATTGAGATATACATGAATAAGTATTAAGTAAGTATAGGTTGATAGTATTTTCTATAGACCTAAATTGGAAGTTGTATCCTATATGTTGGAATGAAATGGTTAGGGAAGCACTATATGAGTCACGTGAATGGGTATTAAAATATGCTAGATAGCTTCATATAATTACAATAGCACTTAAAGAAGAAATGTTGATAGTATTAGATATATAATCAGCTATAAGAGTAACATATTGATTGATTAAATATCTTGTTACTCTCAGACATATCAACTTGTATACTTCCAACACTTTCAATCCACTCACGACATCCATTTTAGCTTCATTTTGGCCCCTTTTGAAAAATAACTATTTTCGCGCCTTCCAATGTGCTCTCTACGCACTCCTGAGGACATTTTAATACTATCTATACCTTCTAATTGTTGTTTAACCTTGTTTTATGTCCTTGATACTACAGAAAAAACTGAACGGTATGGCCACTCCCTCCGCGAAAAAATTGGGTAAAATTTTTGATTTTGTGGAATGGGATAGGATTTAAGTGAGATGACGTGGATAGATGAGGAGGAGGAGGAGGAGGAGGATTACTATAAAGAGATATTAAGGTAGATTGAGATAGATAATATTATGATCAGATGAATGATTGTTTTGGATGGTAATGATAAGGATCTATTGGTTGTGGGGGTGTTTGTTGTTGGTTGGTAGTACTGGGAAGGCACTGGAAAGGTACTGGGTTAATATAGGTATTTTGAGGCCAAAATACATGTGTTTTGAACCCAATTCTTTGTAGAGGATGGTTTTATGAGGGTTTGAGTGTTAAAATAGGTGAATATCATTGATTTTGATGGCTTTATTGAAGGTTGTTTTATTGAAGGTTTGTATAGTGGATTTTTGATGTTACGGGCCACATTTTCACGTGACCAAATTCTGTTAAGTATGGTGAGGATTGGAAAATGGAATAAAACGTTGAGTTTTGGAGTATTTGAGTTGATTTTGGTTGTGGTGGACTGAGAGTGTGATGGTGCATATGGTTAAGTAATAGTGGTGGTGATAGGGGCACTTGGGGCTGGGTTATTTAATGGTTTTGTTAAGGTGATTATGGAGAATTGGTACTGTTCAATCAGTTTAATAGATATTGATGAGATTTCCACTACATTAGAGTTTGGTTGTATGGATACAACTTTTCTAATAGTTTTTGGGTGGATTGGATGACTATTTGAAGTATCGTAATGTCATTGATATACTAATATTGGATATAATTCATCAACTATCAATGTTAGACCCTCATTCTCATCACCATAATATTATTTGAAATTTTCTCCATCTTTCCAACACCTTCATGTCTCAATAACCTCTTTATTCCATTCAATATCAATACATTTTGGGGTTCAAAAACAGTAAAAATAAGATATATACACTCTCGAAAGGATTCGGGGTTCCATTTTAGGATGAGTATATACTTCTAACGATTCTCTATCTTTTCCAATACAAAGCTAAGCATATAAACCATTCATTCAAAAGTTATGAATCAAAATAGGTTTCACCATAGTTAAGAAACTGGTAGGGGCAACATATTCCAAAAAACGGCCACGGGCAGGCCGTTAGAGGGGCGTTAAAAATGAATTTTTTGGATTTTCTAGCCAAATACAAACGGTACAGAGGTCGGAGCCTTACCAAAAGGTTCTTCTCCTTCCAAAGTATCGTTTGGGATAGAAAAAATG